CAGACATGTACAAGCATATCATCGCAGCTTGGTTCCTAGGAGCCCCAGACTGGAAACTCCCCCAAAGCTCATCGATACTAGACTGGATAAATTGTGATATAACCACACAATAAAATACTATACAACAAAGGGAATAAATGACCTACAACAATACCCAGCAACACGGATGATCCTTTAAACAAAATGTTGACTCCAAGAATACCTCCTGTACGAGTGCGTCCATACAAAGGCCCGAAAAGTGAGGTAAAATAAATCGATGCTATTAGAAGTTAGGACTGTGATCCTTCCAGGATGGGTCATGACTGGGAGCAGGAGGAGGGGTTTGGGGTGAATCAGTCAGGATCCAGTCGGGACCGAGCAAGCACTGGGTGTTGGTTACACAGCTGTGTTTGGTTTCTAGCAATGTCTTAACCTGTATACTTAGGATATGTGCACTTTTCTAAAAGTATTATTACTATGCCTCAATAAAAGAGGTTTTTGTTGTTGTTGTTGTTGTTAATATAATGATTAGTTAATATACTAGTGTGGATGGGACCCCAACCGGTGGCCTTCCATTAAAGCAACTTTTCTGGCAAACTCAATCACTCAGTTTATTGTGTGTGGCATTTAAGGCCGTTCACAGCCTGGCTGCTATTAGATAACTTCCTGAGGTCCCTTCCATTCCTATGCGTCTCATCATTGCTTGATAAATGTTGAGGATGATAAAGGTTGGCCATGCAAAATTGACTCCATCTTGCTGTGCCAAGCACATAATCCAGATTAAGTTCTAGTCAAACAGAACCACTAGCTATTCCTTCTACACGTTTTCTGTTCCCACCTCTGAGACACCTAGCATGCCCTGAGCAAAAAGGCATGGTGCCTTCTTCTGTCTGGATTCCCTAGTTTTCCTTCCATATGTTGCGACCTATCCATGAAGGCCCTTCTCAGATGATGCTGTCTCCTCCAGCACGAAGCTGGTCCTCTCCCACCACCCTCTGTGCTTAGACGCTGGTCACTTGCCACCTTGTTCCAAGCAGGGTACTTACACTCCCATGGTGCTTTGCCCATAAATAATGATACTGTATATATTGTTAGATGACAGAATGAGAAGCAATGATATCTTTGTTTTGTTAAACATTAAGCTTCTGAGTATCAAAGGTCAACCCCTTGTCTTTGTGCCTTTTCAGGAGGTTGTCCAACATACTTCACTCTCACCTTCAGTCTGGGTCCAGTCAGGAGAGAGAAACAACACAGTAGGTTCAGCCAGAGTTTAATACGAAGAATTATTACCTATGATAAAAGAGTAAATATAAGAAAATTCTAGGTGGTACACTAGGACTCAGGGAGAGTACTTGAGGAAGCACAAACCTGGAAGGGGTTCAGACCTTGCTGGGAAACATGTGGTTCAGCCCACCGGGTAGCAGAGATGTTCGCTGGTTTGGCCAGCCTGGAGCTGGTCCGGAGTCGCCGGGCAAGCAGTAGATAGGCTACCCTCCGAAGGGCTGGCAGGGAAGCAGACAGCCAGCAACTAGTGGTGTGGACGTGCAGTGGCTATGCTGCGTGTGACTGTGACTCTCTGGACAAGTAACTGTGTGTAGCCATGTGGGGGCTTTAGTTTCCATGTCAAGAAGGCCACAGAAAGGTTATCACCAAGTGCTACAAGGTTGCAGAGGGATGGCTGGGGCAGTCTCCATCGGCCGTCCTCCCAAGTCTGAAACTCAGCCCCTGCCTGAAACTTCCAGAAGCCTCTTCTTCCTGTAATGTGCCTCCATTGTCCTCTACTGAGGAAGCTTGACACCATGCTCATTTAAAAGGAGAAATGGTTACAGGAATTCTCTTGTTTATCACAGAGCAGGTATTAAAGAATGCATTGGGATCTGAGAGGCAATAAATCAATAATCCACACATCTTCCACCTCAGAACTTCCTGAATGCATTTGGTTTCAAGGACGTACAGAACTAGGAGGGTGTGCAGATTAAATTCACCGTGTTTTAGGCACCATCAGGGGCAGCAGAGTCTGGAACTGCAAGAAAGAGGCTTATTAACGTGTGACCTCAGGTAAATCACTTTCCACCCGAAGGCCTTTTTCCTGATTTTCTTATGAGGGGTTGCACCGGGTGGGTGGTTTGCAACCCAGGCTACAGTGAGCTGAGAAAAACATAGGCAGTGTTTCAGAGCTACACTCATTCAGTTTAAAAGTTTGAACTTTTCAACCACTTTTTTTAGTGATAAAGCATCTTGTCTTTTATGATATTATGCTGATAAGTGCTCATTCTTTTTGATCCCTACTTGGCAAAATAGAAGTCCATCAGCTCAGAATTTTGTTTTTGAAATTTTACTAGTCTGTGGAACCTGAAAATCTGGTCACTCTGGGACTGGATGTTCTGTCTTGGAGCACTTTTTCATCTCTGGGATCTGTGCTTCTGAAAGGCCTACCAGTCTTTCCTGCTCATCGCCTACGTCTCAAGTAGGCAGAAGAAACAGAAAAGGGGTTCCCTTCAGCAGTGGTAAATAAGGGGTCCATCACAGATGATTAGCACGGTCCCTGCACAATGAGGACTCACAAATACACAAACCAATTCATATTTTAAAGATATTTTGTAAACCCTAAGGCAGCAACGAAAACATTTTAAAATGAGGCGTAACTCAGAAGCCAACTGTAGTGATATAATTGTATCATATAAAATATTCAATTAATTCAAAGGGAGGCAGAACATTTAGGAAAGGATGAAAAAAAAAAAAAGAGTTTACCTGTGTGTCTTGCTGAGCATCATGGCCTAGTCTTAGGGTCCGCAAACAGCCTGTTCTACCAAAACACAAGTCATCTGCTTCGGGAGTATTTGAGCTATCTAGACTGCTTTGAAAGCACCACAGAACCTCAACAAGGGTGTCTTCTGGGGGCACCTGGGTGGCTCAGTCGTTAAGCGTCTGCCTTCGGCTCAGGTCATGATCCCAGGGTCCTGGGATCGAGCCCCACATCAGGCTCCCTGCTCAGCGGGGAGCCTGCTTCTCCCTCTGCCACTCCCCCTTGCTCATGTTACTGCTCTTGCTGTCTCTGCCAAATGGATAAATAAAATCTTAAAAAAAAATAAGTAACTATCTTAAAAAAAATAAAGTCTTAAAAAAATAATAAAATCCATCGGTGGCATTTGGGCTTGACAGCTTGGGCACACGAGAGATACCAGTAGCCGCTATGACGTCAGAACAACTTGTGAGATTGGATCATCCAGTTGAGTTCTCAGGAGGCACCGGCAGCTTGAGCATGGGGAACATCATCCCACCACAGAGCCTGGCTTCCAGGCTTCTGCTTCAACGTTTTTTTGAAAGTTGGTGCCTTGGAGCTTAGAAGACACTGAACCTCATAAAAGTAGAGAAAGAAGGTAAGAAACATTTCAGGCAAGCACTCAAAGCCCCTTTTATCCATAAGTTTTGAATAAAGTATTATTTAAATAAGTTTTTTTTTTTTTTTGAGAGAGAGAGAGAGCACGTGTGAGCAGGGAGGCACAGAGGGCGAGAGAGAATCCCAAGCAGGCTCCATGCCCAGCGCAGAGCCTGACATGGAGCTTGATTTCACGACCCTGAGATCATGATCTGAGCCAAAATCAAGTCAGGCGCTTTCCCAGCTGAGCCATCCAGGCGCCCCTAAAATATTTCTACGGCAAAGTGAGTTCTGAATTCCAATCAGGATGCCAGAAACAGAGTCTTTCTGGCCTGTCTCAGCAGGGTCTCCCTCCACCCTTGTCCTAAATTCACACAATAACAATACACAAAATCCAACAGCACCCTCCATTGATTGGCACAGGCCCATGGGGACCTGGTTTGCGGGGAGATGGGATCTAAGGGGGCTCTGGTGGAAGAACAGACACTGAGAGTGTTTCCCCTATGGGGAGGGCAGAAACAGCTCAAACCTGCAGCAAGGGCGGCCAGGGTGATGGGCATTTCCAGGTGTCTCACTTAGTCAGAGCTTATAAAAAGAACCCAAGAAATGACAGGTAGTGCGGCAAGTTTAACTGGTATTTCCTGGGACCAGCAAAGTCAGAGGGTGCTGAAAATACACACAAACACACTACTTACTGCCCTTGGGCCTTTATTTATTAAAAACAAAGACTATAGGGTGAAATTGTGTAGAAAACCACTCGTGTATTTAATATATTCCCGTTAATGCAACTAGCAGTTGACTCTCAATAACGTTTTTTATTTCAGTGGATCCTAAATGGACAATTGAACTATTCCTGCAATGTGTTAATGGTAGAGATTCCTCTCTGGAATATAACATCCTATCTCTTTTTTTGGGAGTGCAGTTAGGAGGGGAGATAGCCTATCTGGCAAACAGCGTGACCTTCGGGCAATCAAAAAGTAAAACAAGGCTGAAAATTCCTCAGAAATAGCATATTTCTTAAATGCATGTTTAAAAAAAAACCACCACCAAGAATCAAGTCTCTTACATATAATGTAGGAATCTCTAGGGCATCTCTACAGAGGCAGGAACGCCAAGTCCGGTCACATTGTTCTCAATCATTAAAACCTCATTGGTCCTCGTCAGACACAGGCATCCTCTTAAGCTTCTAGTCCTAATGCAGTGTGTCCTCATTCTACATTCATTGACTGGAGCGGTTATTAAGAACAAAACAGACATGGATATAAATTCAGCGGAATGGTCTTTCCAATCTCATGCCTGAGGGTCCACTGACCAGTTAAGAACTACAAGCCAAAATAAAAAATAAAATAAAAAAATACCTACCACAGCCAGTATCCCTTCCCTTCACTCACTCTCTTCCTGCCTACATTCCTTTCCTTGCAGACAAATCCGTAGGCTACCAGAAAGCAGACTATTGAGGACGTCACCTAAGCTTCCTCTATTCTTTTAATTCTACTCTTATTCCAAGGATCCTGATTTTAGGGGATTCTTTCCAGTAGTGAAGTCATGAAGGTATGTGGCATAATTTAAGTGTGCTAGAACTTGAGAGAAATGGAAAACAACACGGCATGATGTGAAATAACTACCACACACGTTAACTTCATGAAATTAATGCCATTTCGATAGGTTTTTATTGAACATATTAGATCCTTATTATTAAGGCTAGGTAATTTGGGCAAGTGAGTACATGGATTTGTGGAAAACATGAATATATTACTGGCTTATCAAGTTCAATGAGAAATTTTCACACAGGCATGTGAAAATGTCCATGTGAAAACAGGCATGTGAAAATCTGCCTTTTGTAAAAGGTCAAATTTTGTTACCAATTAAAACACAAATTTGAAATAGAACCTGGCATTCAATTTAATCTGTTTACTATTGTTCAGTGACTTCTAATAATTGGTATAATAAAGATAACTGTGGAAAGCAAAAATCCCTAGTGTGATTTAAAAAAGAAAATCCAAGCAATCTGAAGCAGCCTTGCCAACAGTCTGGAGAATCAGTCTGTCTAGCAAGTCGTGTATGTAAATAAATAATCAGAGATGCTACTAAAATACAACTTAGTAAACAGGCATTACCTATTTAATAAGTACAATATATACATAGAATTCTCTTGAAAAGCTTCATTTTATACAGAAACATATTTACAAAATGAACAGTGTAATCAAATTAAAGATTATCTGTACAATGCACACGTATATATATGAACTTTTGGAAGATAAACAAGTTTCATCATTGTAGTCAAAATGGACAGCCATATGCATTTTAAAAAAGGAATCCATCCCAGAAAATACATCTTTAATATACAATTATATTTTTCATTTATCCTCCTAAAAATTCTTCATGTTTGGATACTTTTTCAATTATTTTCTCTTGTTCAGAGCCTTGAAAAATTTCAGGTTTCTAGTGCCACCAACTGGTGTTAAAAATTAACAATCTTAGTGTCAAAAAAAGACTGTTTTGTTTTAAAAAAAGGATATTGAAAAACAGGCTACTAGAGTCAACATTCATAAGGCAAACTAACCATACTGAGTAGCAACATGACTGATAAAAATATTTTCACTACAGTAGCATTTACAATATTAATGGTTTTTAATGTTTTGGTTTCTTTCTACCAGTAAATCTTGGTTTAAATTTATATGCAAAAAATCTTTAGAAAATAATATGCTGGTAAAACGAAGTTTAGGAATATACATGAAAACATGATTAGATTCCTCTTTGTGAGCATCAAGTAGGCATTAACAATTTACTAAAAGGGCAAAAATCAAGTATCTTTTTACGGTCTTTGATTTTTTTTCTTCAAGAATAATTAAACATCAAACTGTGACAGTTAGAGAATGCACAGACCATCGTGAGACCATCTGCTCTCAGCATACCCCAGAGCAAGGATTCATTTCCCAAAGCTTCATGCCACAGTGAGATTTCTGGGCCACTATATGCACAAGTCGATTAACCTCCTTCCTTCTGCGGCAGGGGCTCAAAGAGTGGCTCCTACCGCCTCCCACCATTGTAACTAGACCACAGTGCCATGAGGACAGCAAGAGCCCTGTCTGATTTGTTCACCAATAAAACCACAATACCCCAGATGCTGCCTGGCAATAGCAGGTTTTCAATACATGTGTGAATACTAACATGCTGGTAGCCTGATAAAATTTAATTCAAGATAAATCACTTTAAATGGTGATGAAGATAGAAAGTTAAAAAAAAAAAAAAAACCACACACAACACCAAAGTTCAAACCCATTTCTTTGCTCAAACCCACTATTTTCAATCCTTAACACTGAGCAGGCTAAAGTTTGAAGTGGTTTGGGAAAAAAGGGAGTCACAGTAAGAATTCACTTCAAAATTAAAACCTAGAAAAGCATATGCAGATGTACACACACAAAAAAATAATTTCCTGCTCAAAGAAACCAAAACAGTGCTAAGTAGCCAAAACAGCCTTTGATGTGTATAACTAATAATGAACATATAAATTTTGCCCCAGATCTCAGGTTTATCCAGACCATTTTCCTTTTCTAGACACCCATTCTTCTCTCCATACATTCAATATATTAAGAGTAGAAGACCCTCTAAATCCTTACATTAGCAGCTTTTTGTGATTGGTATAAAGATCTGACATATGCACATCTTTGTACATTACTTTGCTCAGGTCTAATCCATACACAAAAAGATACAGTAGAAACTGAAGAACAAAAGGAAAATAAAAGCATTTTCTTCAAAAATTTTCCATAGCTTGAAAAATAAGTCAGAATGTTGTTTATAATAAACAGCCTTCCTCTAAAGTAGTGTCACCATTTGAGTTCTCCAAATGAATGGTGTGGCACACATGTTAATATTGGAATGTTTCACTTTTGTATGCAATAAAATGTATATATTTTTAGAAAGTGTATAGACATAGGACACTATAGATCTGATCACTACTTGGTCTCCATTCACACATTTTGTGTCTTGGAAGAAAAAAACAAATATTGTAGTGTATGAATCTCCATTACAGAAGAAGTCATGAAATTTAGTTATGTTGGCTACTCTAAGGAGTCTTTAGGAATATCAATAGTATGTCTAGAAAAATGGGAAAATAATTCAGATTTGTTTGCACTTACTCCCTCTTACTTTATTTTGATAAATTATTATTGGTAAAAAGAACAAGACACATTATGGTACGACTAACACTTGTTATAGCTATTTTAAAAAAAAGGTGTTTTTTGGACTTATATTTCCATTTTGAAAAGATTTTGTTTTTGGATGGCAAGATATAACTTGATTTACAGAAAAAATAAGATGCTGCATTAAATCCTTAGTAAAAATGTAGTAAATGATCTTTTTAAACAATGTTGATTAAAAAAAACGTTAAAACACATTAAAGGGATATTGCCACCATGAGCCCAACTTTTAGAGCCATACAACTCCTTAAAGGTTAATTCATCATCCCAAAGCTTACTTCTCTTAAGGAGAGAAAAAAGGATGCAAAAATCTAAAACAAAAGTGACACCTGTGGCAACATCTGCATATTAGCCAAGGTAACCTATTACAGAGATGATCCGAATATAATGAAATGTGAAAAGCCACACTCAGAAATGATAATAAGTTACAAATTACAAGAGGAAGGAACAAAATTCAATGATGTAGAAATACTGATACTATGACTGGCAACATTTAAGTGCACATCTTAAATAAATATTGTAAAAATCCATTAGGATACACAAATTTGGCTCTAAAATTCCTTTGGTTACAGAGATGTAATTATTTTGTATTTTAAATAAATATATTGAAACACATCACATTGGGGACTATAAGATCACTCCACTGGAATATATAATTATATAATGGTAAGGAATGGTACCAAATGAAATGGTTAACAGAGCCATATGCTGGATTCTCTTGGGAAATGGTTCTTCATAAATATCTTAAACATTTATCTTTACATTTCATGTTAGTAAAACTAAAGTATTCCAGTTTCAAAGAATTCATTATTCATCTCTCTGCTCTAATGACTAATCTATTTCACATTTTAAAATACAACTGAAGTCCACAAATCTAAGTGAGCATGTTATTTAAAATCATATTTTGTGTAACTGAAAAATAAAAAAACTCAACCTTAACTCAAACAATTTGAATCTGAAAAAAACGTACCTAGCACAGATAAGGAAACCTGACAGAGGCATGCAATGTCTGATAACTGCTAGCTACCAAGCGCTGGCTTTCCTATTAGCTTCCATTAAAATTAAAAGATTTAAGGACTCACTGGCATCCCTAAAATACAGTCAAATGTTATACTGGAATGTCAAACAAAATTTTAATCACTTTAGTTTTCTTCATGTTGGAGAAATAGCATATTACTGAATGATTAACACGTGTCCTTTCATGCATAATTTTAAAAAGCTGAATCATTTTTGACATAATATAGTTTCAAAGGAAGAAATATGGAGAAGGGGTTTTCAAAAGCCCTTGCAAAAATGTTCAGCACTTCATAGGACTATTAGCAATTTCAGTTGTTCTGATTCAGTGACAGGCTGTCACTATACAAATTTCATCAAAGCTCATTCTCTTACAGTATACACAGCAATGCATTCGTATTGTAAAAGGATACTTTTTTATACAGATGAAGCAAAACAATTTTTTACTGGCTGACACACAAAGCAGGGAAAATTTTCCAACAATACTGGGCAGTGGCACCTGCTCCTTATGTGGCTTTTGTGTTTAGTGACCAAGAGCTACGTGTTAGGTTTTCTTCGTCCTCTGTTCTAGTTCATGCTGGTGTTTAATAAGACGTTCTATTTCTGTTCCAAGTGTTTGTAGATTTTCCTTTACCAGTAAGAAAAAGGGGGAAAGAAAACAGAACCATTATCATAAGTATATAGATTCAGTTTGAACTATTTTTGCTTAAATTTTGACACTGAAAGGGTGAGGATTAGTCTTCAGTGCTCTGTGGCATAAACCAGGTGCACAGCAGTTTTCAGTAAGTAAGTCCTGTACATTTCAGAATCTTTACTGAAGCTACAGCAAATTTTAGTGCATAGATTTATTACTAGATTTACAACTTTATTTACTAACTCTCAAGGCCCAAACATAGCACAAATAGAATAGCTGGGTCGGGTAAAAGCTGCAAAAGTAAAGCTGGAAAATACATTAGAAAATGAATGCCTTAAACTTAAAATAGAGTCTCTGCGATTGATTATAACTAATTATACAGGTCAAAGGCCACCCACTGCAAAATAAACTGTCTGTACAACAGCTAAGCTGATTTTTTGCTCTTTCTTCCTTTCCTTCCTAGCTTAAAAAATTTTATTTTTCAAGAAAAACACAAAAATTTTATCTCCAGGTAAAATGGCTACCTTGCATTACAGAACTAGTCCATTTACAGGCTAGCTCACACTATGAAAGAGGCACCATTATGCCATGCTTACTTACTGGCTGTAAGTAAATGAGAAACACAGATACCTTCAAAGTAATATTTTTTAGTAATGTATCCTCCAAAACAGCCTGTAATTTTCTGTTGATCTCCAAAGAGAGGTCCAATGTTAATCCACTATCAGCTGGATGGGATGTATATAAAGATGCCATAATGCCGCCCCGTCTACTTAAATGGACTTTGTTAAAATCAGATGCCTCTGAAGAAAGTGTGCCTGATTCTTCCCGTAAAATGTAACTCTGAATTATTCTGCAAAATAAAATGACACTGTCAGTTATATACTTGCAGAATTAAAAACATTAAAATTTACAAGAGTCAACTAATCATAAGCATGAAGATGATTAGCATAAAACAAGTACCTATTAGGTTAATAACAGTAATGTTAGAAAATAAATTTTCTTATTCACATGGTATCTTTTTTTTTAAAGATTTTGAGAGAGTGCGTGCACCTACAAGCAGGGGGGAGGGGCAGAGGGAGAGGAAGCAGCACAGACTCCCCGGTGTGCAGGAAGCCGGACTTGGGGCTCAATCCCAGAACTCTGGGATCATGACCTGAGCTGAAAGCAGATGCTTACCTGACTGAGCCACCTAGGTGCCCCCAGATGATGTCTTAATCCCATTTTTGTTTAATATGGTATTTACATTAAAGATGTATAAACATTGTTTTTCTATTTCTTTCCTTATTACTTTAATCAAAATATTTTAAATTTTTTAAAAGAGTTTATTTATTTATTTGACAGAGACAGAGCATAAGCAGAGGGAGCTGCAGGCAGAGGGAGAGGGAGAAGCAGGCTCCCCGCTGAGCAGAAAGCCCGATGTGGGGCTTGATCTCAGAACCCCAGGAACATGACCCTACCTGAAGGCAGACACCCAACCTACTGAGCCACCCAGGTGCCCCTAATCAAAATATTTTTGAGCAATTTATTACACCATTTCAGTTAATATTTTCTATTTTCTTGTTATTAAACTTAGAACTTTATTCATTTTTTTAAAAAGATTTATTTATTTAAGGGTGCCTGGGTGGCTTGGTCATTAAGCGTCTGCCTTTGGCTGGGGTCATGATCCCGAAGTTCTGGGATCACGCCCCACATCGGGCTCCCTGCTCTGCGGGAAGCCTGCTTCTCCCTCTCCCACTCCCCCTGCTTGTGTTCCCTCTCTGTGTCTCTGTCAAATAAATAAATAAAATCTTAAGAAAAAAAAAGATTTTAGAGACAGAGCACGTGCACATGAATGTATGTGCGAGCAGGGGACCGGGGGCGGGGGGAGGTGGCGGCACAGGGCTCAATCTTGAGACACTGAGATTACGACCTGAGCTGAAATCAAGAGTCAGACTTAACCAACTGAGCCACCCAGGCACCCCTTCTTTTTCTTTTAAAAGTCATGGGCCAACTTTTCTCTAAGTCTAAAATTATTTCAAAATAAAAATTATAAAGTCATGGGTAAAAAGTTGCAATATATAAAAAATACATCTTAAAAGAATATGGTATTTGTAAGAGGAATTTTGCACAGCAATTTTTTTTTCCTTTTTACCAGGTGAGGAAGGAAGGCCCAAGCCCCAGAGAGCCCAGCTCCCGGGAGGGGAGAACAAGCCACTGGAGGGATGAAGAGGAAAGATCACAGGCTACAGGGTCAGGATGGAGAACCCGCAGGTGAGATGAAAAAAAAAAAAACAAACAACCATGCCAGAGGCCAGTTAGCAGGGGGACAAAATAGAAAACAAAAGTGCATGAAAATACGTCTCATAAACGTGACTGAGAAAAAGTAAGGTTTCAGAGTACCAAAGCAAAGAATATTAGTGCAAACTAAACGTGTATGGAACACACTGCATGGCAGATTCCAGGCTGTGCTGACCAGGCATCCCGCCCACCTCACGGAAAGCCAGTACCCCCTGCTCAGGGGCCAGGACGCCCTGAGGCCCCCAAGGTCACCGTTCAAAAGGCCGGTTCTTAGCTCAAGGCCCCTGGTGCCCAGCTACTGGGAGCTCGAGAAGCCAGTTTTTGACTTTAGGTCACACTGACCTAGTCCCAGCTGGGCCCAGATCCCCAGCTCTTGGTCTGTCACTTACTGGATTAGTGGTGACTCTGGAACATTTAGTGATTTGACCTGAACACCACCAGTTATTTGTCCGTTTTAAGAAATCAATGAAAGTTTAAAGTCATAGGCACAGAATCTTGTACTTGGCAGGTGCCCAATAAATTACCCACTACATCCTACCCAACAGGAAAGATAATCCACAACCCCATATCTCTCTTAGAGCCACAGTCATGAAAATCAAAAGCTAACAGAGTGCTTTTATTAAACCCGTTATTTTAGTATCCTAAAAAAATTAAGATCTATTGAATTCTAGATCACCTTAAAGACCTGTTTTCTTTCATCTCTGTATTCCCAAAACCTAGAACATAGTAAGTGATCAATAAAAGACTGGGAACTGAACGACTACAATTAAGAATTATTTTTTGAGGGGCGCCTGGGTGGCTCAGTCATTAAGCGTCTGCCTTCAGCTCAGGTCATGATCCCAGGGTCCTGGGATGGAGCCCTGCGGGAAGCCTGCTTCTCCCTCTCCCACTCCCCCTGTTTGTGTTCCTCTCTCACTGTCAAATAAATAAAATCTTTAAAAAAAAAAAAATTATTTTTTGAAAGATTGGCTCTTGATATGATTTTGAAAACAGTAACTTTACCATATAAGTAATGATATTTCAAACACAGATTGTGTTATATAATACATACTTTGTTTTTTTCCTAATTTCTTCCACTAACTGTTTGATATGATCTTCCATAAATTCTATCTTTTCATTTTTCCGGGCATGTGCTTTTTGCAGCCTTACGATCCTCTCAATCAACATGGCCTTGTCCACTTCTGGAAAGTTATCCACAGCTCCTGACGACCCGGTATTTTCTGGAGATCGATCTTCTGCACTGCTTCGAGCATTGAGGGACCCTGAAGACCAAAAAAAAAAAAAAAAAAAAAAATCAGTTTAGGTACTGTATTCAGTCTAGAGTCATCTGCTAATGTCACATATTATTTCTTCTAGTATAATTTGCAAATATTCGCTCTAACAGAGTCGGGCACAGAATACAAGGCATACCTGGCCTGAGTTCTTATTTCGGAATACATGAATGACCTAAGTGCCAAAGGGCCTATTATGTCTCTCAGGAACCGGGTGAGGAAGCAGCAATAGAGAAACAAGAAACTCAAGAAAAAGTCAGAATAACAAGTCTGAAATGAAACTGAGAGCCAGAGCCAGAGCCAGAGCAGACAGCCCCCAGAGTGGGCTCAGCTCTGAGGCCCGCCCCCCGAGGATCGAGTCCTACTCCGCCACTTTCTAGCTGCGTGATGCTGGATAAGTTACTTAATTCTGTGCCTTGGTCACTTCATCTTAAAATGGGCAGATTAGTATTCACCTCATAGGACTGTTATCCTCATTTAAATGAGTTAATATATGTGAAGTGCTTGGAACAGTTCATATAAGTAAGCACTCAGTAAATATTAGCTATTACTTTTATTAACATCAGTGGAGAAAAACTTCTGATCCTCTCTACCCTACAAACATAAGTCTTTTTTCAACTCCATTTTGTAGATTTAAGACAGTAATATACCCTATCCAAGGTCACGCACTAATAAATGACAGACCTGGGTTCTAAATACCTATGTGTAGGGGCACCTGGGTGGCTCAGTTGTTAAGCGTCTGCCTTCGGCTCAGGTCGTGATCCCAGGGTCCTGGGATCGAGCCCCGCATCGGGCTCCCTGCTCCGCGGGGAGCCTGCTTCTCCCTCTCCCGCTCCCCCTGCTTCTGTTCCTTCTCTCGCTGTGTCTCTCTCGGTCAAATAAATAAATAAAATCTTTTAAAAAAATAAATAAATACCTATGTGTAGTTTCAACCCATGTTCTTCCTACTATGTGATCTTCCCACTACTGTAATAGTTGATGTGCAACTCCTGGGAGGGTGTGTAGTGTCACGGCATGCACTCATTCTAGAGTCTGAGAGTTCTGTCACTGTGGATTTGGGGCAAGTCATGGAACCATTCTGAACCTTCGTTTCCTCATCACTAAAATGCGAATTGTAACACCTCACACAACTATTCTCCAGAGTAAATAATAAGCTTAAAGTGCTTGGCATGATTCCTGGCACTTTAAAATGACAAATACACTGATATTTTGCTAATTACCATTTCCATGATGATATCAATCATAATTTTATGGACTCTATTTTCTCTTTAGACCACAGGCATATTTCATGGGAAAAGCTAAAAGATTTAAACATATGTGTATATATAAAAAATCTTAAAATATAATGATCATTTCATTAGTTTTCAGGTGTTAAAAGTAACATAAAAGTAAAAAAAAGAGAGACCATATTTTTTTTTAAAGATTTTATTTATTTATTTGACAGAGAGAGACACAATGTGAGAGGGAACACAAGCAGGCGGAGTGGGAGAGGGAGAAGCAGGCTTCCCACCGAGCAGGGAGCCTGATGCGGGGCTCGATCCCAGGACCCCGGGATCATGACCTGAGCTGAAGGCAGATGCTTAACGACTGAGCCACCCAGGCGCCCAAAGAGAGACCATATTATAACAAATCTCTCTATATATGGATGGATATATCTAAATTTAAAAATGGAAGAGGAAATTGTCACAAGGAATAAAGAAGATGCAGGTAAGATAATAGGAGATAGGGAGACAGATCATCTAGAACCCCATGACAAACATGAAACCCTGGGAAATGATGAGAACTTATTTAATTGGAAATAATACCACTTTTCATAACTCAAAATGGGAAAAAAAAATATCAACACTTTTTAACATAAAAAAATGTTAGTTCTTTTTACAATCAGTCACTAGATAACAACTGAAACCAGAAACTTTTTTACCTGATGAACTAGAACGACTCCCCATGCTGCTGACTTCTTTATCATAGCTTCCATTCTCCACCTGATCTAATTTTCTTCGTGCTACAGGGAAAAGAAATTACTTGTGACAATTATCATGACCATTTGCCCCATTATTTCTGATTTTAATTGCTAAAATCGCTCAGGCAAAAATGACAAACACAAGAGAAATTTGTGGAATAAATACTTTAGACAGGAGGGCTATAGTTGTCACTCATATAAAATGATATCTAGAAATGTACAGGTCAAATACAAAATACAGAGAAACAACACTATGATGACATCACCTAGGCACAGTGACTTAACATTCAGAGTCCTGATGGATTTAGATGACCTCTACAATACCAGAAATTTCCCTTCAATTATAGCTTTAAAAACAAACTGAATTCTTATAGCAAATATCTGAATATATTAAGTAAATGCTAAATCTCTTTTATCTTAATACTATATTTCACCCAATAAGTATCGAGAATAGTAGAGATTAGGAAGTCAGAACACATATCTTATTCATCTTTGTATCCAAGCATATAGCACAGTTTAAATTGTTTAAATTTTTAAATGAAAGAAATCTGGGTTCCAGTCCCAGCTGTTAATCATTGTGTTCAGGTCGTTCATAACCTGTCTGGGTCTGTTTCTTCTAAGATGAAGGGTTAGGGCTCAATGATCTCTAAGGTAGAGAGGTCTACAAAGTGGGGTGCAGGTACCCTAGATGCTGCACAAAAAAACTCATAGCACATGTAGGGAGAAAATATTAGAATTTCCATTTATACTTCCATTTCATCTGATCTTTGAAAAGATTGTTTTTAATTTTTATTTTTATTATATTTATTTTAATCAGATTCTATTTTTCATGTTTTTTAATGTAGTGATACATGTTTTAAATTTATAAATATATATAAATCTGAGAACAAATGCTTAAATACTTTTTACTGATTGGAGTATGTGATCAAAAAAGTTTAGACACTACTGTCCTCAAGTATATTCCCAACTCTCACATTTTAGGGTTCTGTGAATAAATGTCCTTTAGCATAGAAGATGTTATAGACTATTCATGGAACTCCAAGAGGTTTAGCGATTTGGTTTATAAACATTAATACATTAAAGAGAACATATAGCACTAATCAGTGTGGTAGAACCTGATGTAAAATATTTTTTTTCTATAAATCCTTAATGACTAAAAGATGCAACATTAAGGTCTAAGTGTGCAAGAATTTTATACCTTGCTGGAGTTGTTTGGTAAGATCTTTGACACTGAAGGCATGTTTACGTCTTTGGGTTACTAATTCATCTTTTAGTTCTTCGACCTGGGTACTCAATGCTTTAACTTCTGTTTGTCTACAGGTGAGTTCCGCTTGCAGAGTCTGGACCTCCTCTTTTCGCAGTTCTTCCTCTTTTGACAATCTACTTTCCTAAATATTAAATGAGATCAAACAAAAAACACCAATTTTAACACCTGTTTCCATTACTGCTCACAGTTTAAAACCTGAAAATTCAAGGTCCTTGATGGTAGATTCTTCCAGAATTGCTCCTTACCACGTTTTGTTTCCTGCACTCCTCAAATTCCTTGTGTGGGAATGCAGGGGCATATTAATGTATTTGCCATTTTATACATGCAAAACAGTCTACATCAGAGGTCTCTGGTTATTTTGGACTAACATCTCAAATTATTTTTGAGTAACCTGAAGACACTCTGAAATATTAAACCATTTTTAAACTATAAAAATCTAGAGATTTGAAATACTTTAAAAAATATATAGTAATTCCAAGGGTGCCTAGGTGGCTCAGTCAGTTGAATGTCTAAGTCTTGATTTTGGCTCAGGTCATGATTTTGGGGTCATGAGATTGAGCCCCGTGTCAGGCTCCATACTCAGCAGGAAGTCTGCTTGAGATTCTCTCTCTCCCTCTCCATCTGCCCCTCCCCCCCCAATAAATAAATCTTAAAAAAAAAAATATATATATATACACACACACACATATACGTGGTAATTCCAGTTCCTAATGACAAAAACCATGGTTTTCTTATTTTCAAAAGTGAAATACTTTTTCATAAACACTTTAGGAAGGTATTTTATTATAAATGATATAAACAGGAAGGAAAAAGGACACTTTAAACAAGTTAGAAGGAAAAACTGACACTTCTCACAGCATTTGAAATTACCAGAAAATCAGGCCAATAAAAAAAAGAGCTCAACTTTAACTACCAGTAGGTTTATGCTAACAGGAAAATTTAATTTGTGCTTCTTGTATGTCACTTTAAAAGTTAAATGTAGGGCACCTGGGTGGCTCAGATGGTTAAGCATCTGCCTTCAGCTCAGGTCATGATCCCAGGGTCCTGGGATCGGGTCCCGCATTGGGCTCCCTGCTCAGAGGGGATCCTGCTTCTCCCTCTGCCTCTCTCTCTCTCTCTCTGTCTCTCATGAATAAATAAATAAAATCTTAAAAAAAAAAGTTAAATGTAAATGTATACTTACCAAATTAGTATTTGTCTGTTTCATTTGTTCACACTGGCTTTGTAACTGACTTTCACTACAGGAAAGTTTATCAAATTGTGACTGCAAAGAATTGGATTCAGATTGGAGTTGCGCATTCTTACTAGTGAGCTTTTCTGTAAATAGTAGTAACTCAGATTCTCTTTTCCTACTGCCTTCGATGTCTTTTTGTAGGTCATGAATCAAAGAATTAAGACTTTCCACTTCTTCCTTCAAATTTTCAACTTCTTGTTTACCTCTAAAAAACAAAGTTTATACTTAAGAAAAAAACTACTAAAAGACATTACATTAATGGTTTGGGATTTTCTTCAAATAAAATACTTCATAAGTGTACTTTTATTCATTCATCCAAATTATTTATTTGGATTTGTAGGACTACCTAATATATGCTAGGAACTAAGAGCTATGAGTATAAGAAAGACTGACATGGGCCCTGCTTTCAAAAATTTCCATTAAGTAAGGAAATTACATGTGTGATAAAATATTTTTGATGATGAAAAGCACAGAGTGGGTTGCCTAACCTAGTATAAGTGGTGTTTAAACTAATACAGTAGGGGCTAGCAAACTTCTCCTGTAAAAGGCCCAAACTTAAACAATTTAAGTTTCTCCGGCATATGGTCTTTGTGGGAAGTGTTCAACCCTGCCGCTGCAGTGTGAAAGCAGCCATGGATAATTCATGAAGGAATGAGAGTAGCTGTGTTCCAAGAAAAAATTATTTACCAAAAAAGGCAGTGGGCTGGACTTGGCTCATGGACCACAGTTTGCTACTTCCCGATCAGAAGAAAAAGTAGGAGTGAGTGAGACAACAAAATATGTTCCAGGTAGAAGAAACAGGATGTGCTAGATCTGGGAAGGGAACAAGAATGACTTTCTTGTTGGTACTAACAAACACATGTTCAACACTGATGAGGATAAGGACAGCACTATATCCCCAGCACTTAATACAGCGCATGCACATAGGAGACAATCAACCCACATTTGTAAACAACTATTGCTGAAACCCAAGAGTGCGAAAAGAGAAAGCACAGAGGGAGAAGCAAGGTCACTAATGATCTTCCAAGCCAGCTGTGGCATCTGAACTTACTGGGCAGTCCTTGAGGCAATGGGAAATCACTGAAAGGTTTTAAGATTTCCTTTTTAAAAAGACTATGCTAACTACAGTATAAGAAATGGACTGTAAGGGAAGACCAAAAAAAAAAAACCCCACAAAAAATAAAACAAAAAAACCAACAAAACCCATTTAGAAGCTATGGCAGCTTTCCAGATAAAAGAACAATGACATCAGTGGTGGGGGTGTGAAAAATAAATGAACTTGAAAGATACTGAAGCATGAGCATCAATAATACTCTGTGACTGGTTAGATGTATAAGGGGAAGGAAAGGAAACCAAGAAGGATGCCCAGGTTCCTGGGCTGGAAAATCATGTGGATGCTCCACTCATCACTCATCTCAGGAACATCAGAGGAGCATATTTATGGGTGGGATGGACAAATCAGTTTGGGACATTTAGTCTAAAAGTGTGAGGTACCTTTGACACCTGTATGTCTGGGCCTGAGCCAAAAGGGCTGAAGATAATGACCTGAAGGTCCTACAGCATACTGCAGCAATAGCTGGGCCACTCAGGGTATGATAAAATAGTAACAAAAGAGTTTTATGACAAGGAGAAGGCTGCCAAGGAGACTGAGAAAAGGAGTAGCCAGAAAGTGGGGAGGAACACCAAGGAAAGCATGATATGAAGCCAAAGGAACACAGCACGTCAAGAAAGATAATGGGCTTGCGGCGCCTGGGTGGCTCAGTTGGTTAAGCGTCTGCCTTCGGCTCAGGTCATGATCCCAGAGTCCTGGGATCGAGCCCCGCATTGGGCTCCCTGCTCGGTGGGAAGCCTGCTTCTCCCTCTCCCACTCCCCCTGCTTGTGTTCTTTCTCTAGCTGTCTCTGTCAGTTAAATAAACAAATAAAATCTTAAAAAAAAAAAAAAAGAAAGATAATGGGCTTAATGGTTTTAATACTGAAAATTCAAGCAAGGCTTACTCTCGGAAGTGTCTGCTAGATTTAAGGAGGCATTAGCAGTTTTTGATGGGATGTTGGGGTAGAAGCTAGACTGAAGTGCAGAGGAAAAGGAGGAAAGGCAGAGGCATGGAGGAAGAGTACCGATGATTCTACAAGGATGTTTGGTTGTGAAGGACATGAAAAAGGTGGGGGGACATCACAGTAGTTTTGACGTTTTTAATATTGAAATGTAGAAAAACAAAAAGTAGAGAGAGGTAAGAGATAAAGGATAAAGAAGAAATAGTCCAGAAAGATCCTGAGAAGGCAGAAGAGCATGGGATCCACAGAAGTAGAGAGAACAATTCAGTTCAGAGGGGAACAGGAACATGTGTTCTGTAATAACAGAAGGAAGAGAAAGAAGAATAGCTGCAGATGAAGGCAAGTTCACCGAAGAGACAGAAAGAGGTTGCGAGAACAGTTACCTGCAGCTCCCACTTCTCTTGTGAAGTAAATAAGAGGTAATCACCTGCCAAGAGTAAATAGCGAGGAGAGGGAGACTGGAAGTGGGAACAAAGAAGGAACGTCTGGAATAGAGGCTTTGAGGTGGGGGAGAGGCTGTAAATCGGGACATATGGCAGGATTAGAGGTCACTAACATTTCCAGTTGAGGTCGCAGCACCAACCTGGATGATGGTAAGGATTTTTGGCAAGACTGAGCAGCAGCCACTGGGTCAGTATCAAAAAGAAGGTATTTGGATTAAGGATGAATTTAGGCTCTGCCAGGTGACGTCATGAGTAGAGTTTAGCTAAATGGTTTTACAATAAGCCAAGGAATAATGTCAGCTCCTAACCTTGCACTACAATACACACAAAGATACAGATGTACATATATATCTACCTTTTAGAAGTAAGTACTGTAAGTAGCAAAATTTGAACACTAAAGAATGGAGTAAGAAACTAAAATCCATTCTGTTTTATAAATTGCCACTTCCAATATTTAGGGAATATAAACTTTGATTTTTAGAAGCCATAATAGGAACTTCAAAGATAATCCAAGAAAGTTCAAATGAAAACAGGAATTTTAAATTTTTTAGCTAGTAAAATTATAAAATTATTCTTATTTAATGTAATAATTACATTTAATAACAGAATCTTGAGATAGAATTAAAAAGCCTATTGATTAGCATAAACAGAAGTTGCTTGGTTTATACCTTTGATGCTGCTCCTGTATCTGATCCACAATTTTCACTTTGTCCAATAAATTCTGAATTTCAGCTTTTTGGCGATTAATAATTTCTTTATATTTGGATAACTCATCTTCTGTTCTTAATCGTTCATCTTCTAGACATTTCACCTATCAAAATTCATAACCAAGTTAGACTATAAACAATATTTTCTTATTCCTTAATTTCTTAATATAGTGATTATATATTAATAATCCAAGCTAGGGGCTCAGTTGGTTAAGCGTCAAGACTCTTGATTTTGGCTCTGGTCATGATGTCAGGGTTATGAGATCAAGCCCCACATTGGGCTCCGCACTATGCATGGAGCCTGCTTGAGATTCTCTTTCCCTCCCCCACCGCTCCCCCACCCCTCACACGCTCGCACACTCGTTCTCTCTCTTGCTAAAAAAAAAAAAAAAAAAAAAAAATCTAAGCTAAGTTATAAGGATTAATGTGAGGAAAATAAAATGGGACATCAGCAATGTTGGGGTTCAGTCTCAGATTTCTCGTGATTTAGTCACAGCAGTTTTAGCATGTCACATTATTTTTGCTGAATCTCCATTTCCTCACCTGAAAACAAGACAGACCTTCCCCACCTACCTCAAAGAACTGGCCCAGGGAACAAATGGAAAGGTACATGAAGGACACTTTAGAAATTATTAAATGATGGCAAATTCAAGGTGGTTACTTAAAAGCCTATTTCTAAAGAAATGAATTAGATATACAATGATATTTCACATTCATATTAAAAGGGATACTATTTTTACAATGAAGACTATACTAGACTGTTAGAAATTAAAACTGCACAAGACTACCCAGGAGAAATATAAAGTCTATTTTCTGTCACTTACAGTTCTAAAGTTCAACTATCTTTCCAATTAATTTGCTGATAAGACTGCCTTACATTAGGGGCCAGGGATAAGTGACAGAAACAGGGAATGTGCTGTAAAATAGGAATGTCTGGCAAATACTTCAAAGGGACCAAAGTGGAAGACATTATCTTTTCAACAAAAGAATCCATTTTATTGCTAGGAAATCAATATTCTACTCCTCTGAGTTCTTTCACTTTGGAATGAAAGTGTTTCCCCAATACTTAAAAAAATTAGGAGTCCAAAATTAAAGATATTTACCCTTCCTCTGAAATCATGACTAGAGATTTCCTTACCTTTGTTCTCAGTGTTCGTAGTTCATCCATACCCTCCTTAAATGTCCTCTTCAGCTCTTCCAGTTCTTTTATTTTGGCATGATGCATCTTTTATAAAGTTTAAAAGAAACCACAAGTCATTATGTATTAAACAAGACCTAAAATTTATTGCCTTATTCCTTCGAAAAGGCCTTCAAATGGGTGACAGTACTCATTCTTTCTCTCGCTGTTATTTATTGCCCAATCCAGGGTATGGAAAGAGCAAAGCCACTCACCTCTAGCTGGTCAGATTTTTCTTGCATTTGTTTTTCGAGTTCTCCTTTTGTGACTCTAAGCTTGGCATCAAGCTCATTGGATTTAATTTCTTCTGACTCCTAATGGGAAGGAAATGAAAAAAGTATGACTGAATTTTTAAAGTTTTATACTTTGGAAAGTGAAGGCTTTGGCAGCTAGGTTTACAAATTGTGAAATGCATACCTTAGGTATCTAAAAATGACTGTACTGAAAGATTTTAAATATGTCAATTCTGTACGAACAAGAATAGCCCTTAAGATATGTAACATAATACACAGTGGGTTTTAAGTTATACATTTCCTTGTATTCTTCGTTCTTCTGATATTTTTTAGTGTTATTTGGTTAAAAACATCTCCAATAAGATCTCTAGTTAAGCTACAAGTACTTTAACACAGGAAATAACCTGTCATTTATTTAACTGTCCTACCAAATCCATTCCACACTTCAAATATTACAGATACAAAACATTAATTAAGCAAGAGTACTGATATTTGGTGCAATTTTATTACTAATTTGAAAAGTTAAGCATACCTGATATGTTTTTATCATATCCTGACAATTTTTCCGTATCTGATCAGCTTCTTCCTTTGCTTGAGTTAACTTTGTTGTTGTTTCTTTGAGTTTATCTTTGGTTTCCTGCATTGACAAAAAGATAGTGTGAGATAAAGAAAAGATATATATTGGTCTCTGCCCCAGTCCCTGACACAAAGCTCCTAAAACCCTTGTAATTTCCTAAGTCATAAGAACACTAGGAGCATCTCTTGCTGCAGTACCGATTTTGACCTCTGTTCCTGACACAGAGTTCTTGAAACTCTTGTAATTTCCTGGGTGACAGGAGTGTCTTTTGTTCTAATGAGGCACGTCTGGGTGGGCTCGTGGATACGGGCTGGTCACCAGAAAGACCAAGTCATGATTAGCAGTCTGGAATCCAGCCCCCAAAGAAGGCCTGAAGATGGAGCTGATGATGATCATTCCTTCATAATGAACCCTCCATAAAATCCCAAAATATGGGGTTTGGAGAGCTTCCAGACTGTAAAATACAACCACACCAAGAGGGTCCGCAAGTCCACAGGGACAGAAGTGCCTATGTTTGAGACCCTCCCAGACCTCGCCCTATATAGCTCTTCATTTAGCTGTTCATCTGGATCCTTTATCATACCATTTAATAACATGATAAACATAAGTCCTTCCCTGAGTTCTTCAAGCAAATCTTCAAACCCAAGGAGGGGGTCGCTGGAATTTCTCATCTATAGCTGGCTGGTCACAAGGGCACCTGGGCTTGTGGCTGGAATCTGAAGTATGTGCGTGGTGGGGGGCTGGGGGGCCTTCTTGTATGACTGAGCCCTTAATCTGTGGGATCCAATGCTATCTCCAGGTGGATGTGTCAGAGTCAAGTGAAACTGCAGCGACACCTAGGTGTATCACAGAGAATTACCTGTAGTGGGGGAAAACCTCCACACAACTGGTGACCAAAGTGTCAGAGGTGAAGCATTCAGTGTAAAAGTAAATGAGACTGAAAAGGAAGAAACACACAGTAGGGAGAAATGGGTTCTTCCCTACACTGGAGAAGGAAAACAGTTTGTCCTTCACAGTGACAAGGTTGGGCCCAGTAATGTGATGAATGGTAAGGACAATGACCAGAGTAGTCCTGGCACTGCCATTGAGGGGTTAGATACTATTCTAGAAATAACTTTATGCTTCTGACAAAAAACCAAAGTGGACTGTGCAGTTAACTGATAGCCATTAAATAAAGTTAAATTTGATAGTTTTCAGTAAATCACTCAAAGTAATTACTAACCTGGTAAGACAAGAGGAACAAAGTGTTAAACAGCTCTCTGCACGCACATAAAAGACCATTCTTTGCTTTCCGGCCACGGTGTCTATTCAAAACTGTCTTATAGGTCCGTGCTACAGTTTGGTTTCTGTTCCTAACCATTCTCCTAAAAGAGCAATTCTGAAGGTTTGTAGGGACTACTCTCTCATCAAATTCAATTACTTTCTCTCATTTTCTATTCTTGACTTACCTGCTCCAGTTCTGACCACTCCTAATTCCCTGGATATCCTTCCCCTGTTTCTATTACAAGACAACATACTACTATTTTTCCCTTTCCATTGCTGTCTTTTCTGTCTCAAATGGCTTTCCGCTTCCTGTGGCAATTTTCCAGATAAAGCCCTGCTCTGCAGCTCTTTTTCCACAGTTCTTCAGATCACCCATCCAGTCCCATGGCCTGAGCTACTGTGGATTTGAAATCAGGGTTTAGGTATCACCTCCTAGTAGCTGCCCTTCAGAAAAGGGTAGAAGCTGTTATCTGCCTTCCCATAGACAGAGTCCAGGGCATTCCTGGATTAGAACAACTGATACCCTGTTCTGTAGATTACATGTTTCCTCCACTGAGGACACAGCTTCTGGACAACACCTAGCTTAGTACTTGCCACATATTAATTGTTCATGTAATATTTGCTGAATCTATGAAGGAATCACTAATATAAGCCTTTTCTCTAGGGAGGCTGGTCTTCCTAAACATCAAATACTCATCTCCCGTTTTTCCTTTTCTCTTGTTCTTCCTCCACTTGGAATGTTTCTCTTCCTCTTTTGAAACAACTAAATTGCATCTATCTTCACACACTACTTCTTTTATGTCGTTTTTGGATAAATCTATCACACAACTAACTACTTAGCTATATACTTCCAGTGGCTGGTCTTTAATTAAGAATTTGATTTGTTTTTTTTTTTAAGATTTGATTTAATTGAGGGCGCCTGGGTGGCTCAGTCGTTAAGCTGATCCCCAGGTCCTGGGATCAAGCCCCACATTGGGCTCCCTGCTCTGCAGGAAGCCTGCTTCTCCCTCTTCCACTCCCCTGGCTTGTGTTCCCTCTCTCGCTGTCTCTCTCTGTCAAAATAAATGAATAAAATCTTTAAAAAAAAAAAAAAGATCTGATTTATTTGAGAGAGCAAGCGAGCTCAAAGGAGCAGGCGGAGGAGAAGAGGGAAAAGGAGAAGCAGACCCCTGCCAAGCAGGAAGCCCGATGTGGGGCTCGATCCCAGGACCCTGAGATCATGACCTGAGCTGAAGGCAGCTGCTTAACTGACTGAGCCACCCAGGTACCCCAAATCTTATATGGTTTTTTTCCCATGTCTTACCATCAATAACTGAAAAACCTTGGTGCACAGTAGGTACTCACTTCACTCAAAAAATAGCAACTGAGAGATTCCTATAATGCTAAGTAATTATTAAATAAATAACCAAATAAAAGAAAAATTTTGGTTAAGAGACTACATTTCATTTATTTAGTGAGCACCTGCCATATAAGGCATTCTTCTAAGCTTCGAGGAAATATTACTGTAAGAAGACTGATAAAAATCTCTACTCTCATAAAGCTAGTATTCTAGTGATCACAGGTAATACATAAAATACTAAGTAAAAATATGTTATATTAGATAATGATAAGTGCTAAGAAGTAAAAATAAAGTGAGGGCACAAGGGGGTTTGAGGGGAGGTACGCAAATTTAGAGAGCTAGGTAAAGTGTCACTGAGAGGTGACGGATGGGTGAAGACCTGAAAGAAGTGAGCAAGAATATTTGCTAAGGGACTGGATATGGTGACTGAGAACTCAAGGGTAAGGGTGAACTGCCATTTCTTGAGATGGGGGAGCAACGGAGGGCAGGCACATTATCCACTCCATTTCAGACATGCTCAGTTGAAGATGCCTGTGAGTCACCCAAGACATCAGATGTCAAGTAACCACCTAAATATAAGAATATGGAATTCTGTATATAAGTTATAAATCTAGGAATCTCTAGTTTTCTATGCTATGTTTCCATGTATGTTTTTAAAGTTTCATGTTTTTCAAGTCTTGTTACACAAGACAAGATCTTGTCTTCTGTAGCAGCTAATCTTCTGTTAATTCTATCCAATGTATTTTTCATCTCAGACATTGTATCAATTCGGCCTTTTCACAATCTTTTATGTTTTTCCTTAATGTATTCAGACTTTTAATCTATCTTCTTGAATACATGGAATATATTTTATAATAGCTGTTTTAACACCCTTACCTACTTCTTTCATCTATGTCATTTCTGCCTTTGTTTCTATCAATTGATTTTTCTTTTCTTCTCATCATAGGCTATATTTTCCTGCTTCTTTGCATGTCTGGTAATTTTTTATTGGATACCAGACATTGTGAATGTTATGTTCTTAGATCCTGGAGATTTAACTCACTTGAATATTTTGGGCTTTCTTCTGGGACACCATTATTTGAAACAATTTGATTTGAGGCTTTCTTTCAAAGCTTTGTAAGATGGGTCCATAACAGACTGTAGTCTCAGGCTAATTAGTCCTCACTGCTGAAGCAACACCCTTCTGAAGGCCACTGGATGCCCTATTATGTTAAAAGGGCTTTCTCTTGGCTGGAGGAAACATGAACAGGTCCTATTAGCCCTCTGTGAGCCCTAGGAACTGTTGTCCCTACTCCTTTCTGATAGTTCTTTCTCCACCTCTAACTTTCTCATACATATATACTGATCAGTAAGTAGAGAGCTAAATGAAGAACTGAAGAGAACACACTGCAGATCTCCAAATCTTTCTCTTCTGTGGTACTCTGCCCTCCTTTCAGGTCTTTACCCATCTGTCATCTCTCAGTGACACTTTCCCTCGCTCTCTAAATTTGCGTACTACCCCTCTTTCCCCCAAATTTGACACAACGTGTAATATATAGATACCAAGAAATGCTTGAAGAACAAAGTCAATTTTGGACTTGTAAACAATGAATGATAAAATTTAATATTTTTTACAATTTATAAAATTTAACATTCTAATTTAATATGTAAATCACACAAGGAACTATCTTTTCACAATCACCAAATATTCAAGCTCAACCTATCCCACAGAAATCACTGAATTAAGCTTTATGCCTCATTACCTTTATTGCATTTGTTTTTTGTTTTTTTTTTAAGATTTATTTTAGAGACAGTGTGAGTATGCACACACATGCACACACGCAGGGGGATGGGGCTGAGGGAGAGGGAAAGAGAGTCCCAAGCGGACTTCGTGCTAAGCACAGAGCCTGACATGGGGCTCTACCTCATGACCCTGAGGATCACGACCTGAAATGAAACCAAGAGTCAGTCACTTAACTGACTGAGCCACCGAAGTGCCCCTGCATTTGCTCTTAAAACTGATTCTAATAATTTTTCCACTGCATTACAGTACTTACCTTGTGTGAATCCATTTCTGCTTTTAATTTGTTTTGTGCCCATTTTACTTTAATGACATGAGAGTTGATATCTTCCTTTAATTTGTCAATTTCTCTGGTGAGTCTAGTAGTTTCACTTTCCTAAAACAATATCAGTAGGTCATATTTTTTCATTTAAACAATCAACCAATTATTTGTGTATCTTTTATAACTCCTCAAAATAATCAATTTAATAACACTATATTTCAGAGGTTAGCATATTATGACCTACATAAACCTAATTCAAAGTTCAAATGGTAAGAGAGTAGCAAAATCCTAAATCCAGTCAATAGACATAAAATGATTAACATATTTCAAACAAATGGATATGTTGCAAGTACATCTTTATGATTCTTGTCAACTGGCTGGCATTAAGGTGAAATACAAATTAATTTTTTCCAGAATTCCTGAGAACAATGACAACATTCCTGAACTAAAAGTTAATTTAAAAAAATAACATTGATTATCAAGAAATGATAACTGACTAGAAATAAGACCATGCCATGAGCCTGCTAGTTAACAGCAAGGACTCTGAATAGCTCAGTAATTAAATTTCTTTGGGCAGCATCTAAAAAGAACATGTTTTTCTACAAGAAAAATATAAATTCTATTCTATGATAAATAAGTGTTACATAAGATTCCAGTCAAATTACATAGTTCTCGCTGAGAAACTATTTACATCTTGATCCTACTATGTATGTATTTTACCAAAATAAAATGTTCTTTTGGAGCAGGAACTCATTTCTTCAACATACAGATATTAAAAGAAGGTTTTAAAAAAATCTATCAAGAAAAAGTTATTTAATAAACATGTGCCAATATCTCATTTTTTTCCCAGCAAAACCTTTTTGCCAACAGGTAGTGAGATACTAAAGTTACTAAAGCATTCATGTTCTTAGAAGGTAAACTAACAAAAACAACTTTATGTTAAATAGTGACTTCAACCACATTATCAGTATTTGATTAGATAAGGAAAAGCAAAAAGAATAAATTTCAACTAAAATACACCACAAGTTATACCTTTGTCTCATACAGCTGGTGCAACCGTCCTTTCTCCTGAGAAAGCTGCTTAATTTTGTTAGTGTTTTTCTCAGATTCTTTATTCGCATCTCTGAGTTTTCTTTCAAGTATCTCTTTTTCCTTTCGAAGATCTAAAGATTCCTTCTCACCTCTTACATACTTCATTACCATTGCTTCTTTTTCCTGGCGTGCCTCTTCACATTTTTTGTTGGCCTTTGAAAAAATATCCAGCATTAATAAAAAATTTTTTTTAAATCAAAATCAAAATAAATCAAAACAAATAATAATTTTCCATAATATTACCAATGTATTTTTTTGGTTTTTGTACATTCCCAGGACCTGTATCATGAAATTTTTTAATGAAAGGAAAAATTCAAAATTATAGAAAAATGATACAGTAAACAAAATATCACTAATATTTGTGTTTACCCCCCCTTTTTTTTTTAACTTCAGCTGACATAGCTGCCGCTTTCTGTTTACTCCTCCAGATCCACTTTCCACTCTTTGCTATCCCACCCTGTGCTTTGGGAAGATGACTATCATGGACCATATCAACAAGTTTCCTTTGCTCCGAACTTCCAGTCAGCCTCGAACTTCCAGTCAGCCAAAAGGTGGCACTAGGCAGAAGATCAGAAGTACAGGCCAAGAGTGAGATCTGTCTCCTCCAGAATCACAACAGGCTGGCTGAAGGCCAATGCTCAAGTCAGGCGCCCTCACTATACGATTAGCCCCTCCCAGTAGCACTACCTGTTACCTCTCCTTATTCCTTTAGCTCAAGTACCCTAGGACCCTGCATTTTCCCTTTGGGCCCCCTAAACTTTGTCTATACCTTTTGTAAAGAGTCCTTTTATTAAATTTTCAAATCAGCAGTTTCTGTTTTCTGCCAGGACCCTGACTGTATGGCTGACAACTCCTAAAATCTAAAAATCTTAGCTCCCTTGCAAAAAGTAAGTAACCATATGCTAATTAATCATTTGATTTTGGGTATATGAAAAGCTTTCTAAATTATTTCACTTAATGAGGTGCCTGGGTGGCTCAGTCAGTTAAGGGTCAGGTCATGATCTCAGGATCTGGGGACTGAGCCTATAGGCAAGGCTCCCTGCTCATCAGGGGATCTGCTTTTCCCTCTCCCTCTGCCCCTCCCCCCGCTCGTTGCTCACTCTCAAATAAATAAAATCTTTAAGAAAAAATAAAGTATTTCACTTAATAAAAAATACCTAATTGGACCAAGTGTAACATCTAGACACACTTAAAATTATTAATATAAGTTGGTACTCCATATTCTGAAGTTTTATGCAATGAAACTTTTACAGATAACCCTTCATTTAAGTACATTTAAATTCACAATTTGCAAATATGATGGAGCACATACTAATGTTATAAAAGACAGAACCTTAAACTTTAGGGATTTTCAATGGTATCTAGTGGTAAATGCCAACCAATACTATAAATGAATTGAAGACGATATAATGTTGTGGGGTTTTTTGTTTTTTTTAAGGATTTTATTTATTTGACAGAGAGAGAGAGACAGCGAGAGCAGGAACACAAGCAGGGGGAATGGGAGAGGGAGAAGCAGGCTTTCCGCGGAGCAGAGAGCCCGATGCGGGGCTCGATCCCAGGACCCTGGGATCATGACCTGAGCCGAAGGCAGATGCTTAACGACTGAGCCATCCAGGCACCCTGAAGATGGTATAATGTCAAGACAATGTAGGAAAAGTTCCCAACTCTGATGAAAAGTAACTGACAAAGAATGTTTCATGAAGTTCTGGTACAGGTGATAAACACATCTAGTTGACACTCAGAATACTATACAAATATTTTTAAAAATTGTCCCATTGGGATTATTTTTTTCCTCACTGAAATAGCCTGCTAATTTTCAAGAGAAATTAAGAGAAACATTGGAAGAGGAAGGTCAGAGATCCTTGAGGATTTCACAATGTAACTGTGGACAAGGACTGAGAAAATTGGACTGAACTGGTTAACAGAATTAGCTATATTTTTTAGATAGTTGAATAACTGTCCTTTAAAAAGGTAATTAATGATAATGTCAACTTAAAAAGAAGTCTGGTTTCATAAGCTGATGCTTAGACAACATATTGGCTTTTAGAAACACGAAGAGTAAGTTGTGGCTTCTGTCCCAGAAGAGCTCACTACTTAGTAGGATCAACATAGAAACAAAACATTTATACAACACCACATTAACAACATATATACATATAATATATAAAGAAATGTGCAAATGCCTAAAGATATAAAATAGCATGATTTTTTGGAGGATACCAAGACATTTTGTAGGATTTATATTTGGTGTGTTGGTTGGATTGATGAGTAAGTAGTTATGAAGTAGACTGGAAGAGATCAAATCTTCAAAGAAAGGCTTCTCTTATCATGCTAATGAGTTGAGATTTTAGCCTATAGGCAATGGGAACCCAAAAGATTTATAAATTGGAACCTTTTATTAAATGTCTGTTTTAGTAAGATAACTGGTGGCAGGATGGAAGCTTCACTGAAATTGAGAGATGAGAAGCAGAAAAACCAGAAAAGAGACAATTAAAATAGATAAACTATTAGAAGGTTCTTGACTACAGCAGGGATGTCCTGTTAGCCAGTCATCCATGAATCAGCTGCAAAGGCATAACCTAGGGTGCTAAAAGTTCAGGTTTCTAGGTCTCAACCCAGACCACAGCAGCACTTGCTTCCCAGAACTCCTGGGAGTATTAAACATGATAAAGTAACTACTACTTAAGCTTCCATAAAAAGTCCATCTACTGTACAGATAAAGGAAGAAGAGCCGGTAAGTCTTCGGATTTGACCAGTTTAAGATGTTTATCATTGACTTGGATGAACATAAAGAAAGCATGAATAAGATAATCAATAGGATTCAACAGCCAGTTAAAATTAAGATAAAATGTAAGAAGTTCTGCTTCTTGAAATATGGCAGATAAACTATCCCCATTCAAAACACCAGACGTTTTAGATGAAATACAACAAACACCATTTTTTAAAGATTTATTTATTAGAGAGAGAGAGAGAGAGAGAGCACGCGTGCACGTGCGGGGGATGATGGGCAGATGGACAGGGAAAGAAGCAGACTCCCCACTGAGCCTGAAACCCACTTGGGGCTCCATCCCACAATCCCATGTCCCTGAGACCACAACCTGAGCTGAAACCAACAGTCGGGCACTCAACTGACTGAGCCACCCAGACACTCCACAAACATCCTTTTAATAAACAGTTGAGCTCACAAGAAAGTATGAGAAAATCCCCAGGGCCAAAGAAGCTAAGAGGAAGCAGGAATCCAGAATGGTATGCTAAGCCTGAACTCTTGATTGCCCTGTAAACATTTCCCAATACCAGGCCATGCGGGGATAAAGGGAACATGCTGTAAAGTCCCTGAAAATCTATAAGTCTACCACCCTCTTGTAAGTTTGAGGTTCAAATTCATTCTACCTATCTAGTCCAAGAAATGGAAAAACCTCAAGCTATAAAATTAAACTGGGGAACGTACTGTGTGTGCATATGTGTGCACGTGCACACTCATGTTGGGAATCTATTCCTAAGTAAAATTTACTAGGTTTGGTGACTCTACGTGAAGGATAAACTAGTGTTGATTTTACTATTCTTTCACCTTTTTACAAGCTTGAAAACTCTCAAAAAATTGAGAGGAAAAGGTAGGGGTAAAAAGGAATGAAGCAGATGTAGAAATATTTAAATGAAATAATCTCCAAAATCTACATAATACCCACCTCTTAGCGTCATTGTGAAGATTAAACAAACTGTAAAGTGCTTTTTAAACTGGCCTGGCACATAGGTAAATCTCAATATATCAGCTACTATGAATAACTTCACCTAGGGGCACCTGGGTGGCTCAGTCGTTAAGCGTCTGCCTTCGGCTCAGGTCATGATCCCAGGGTCCTGGGATCGAACCCCACTTCGGGCTCCGTGCTCAGCCAGGAGCCTGCTTCTCCCTCTCCTGCTCCCTCTGCTTGTGTTCCCTCTCTCACTGTGTCTCTGTCAAATAAATAAATAAAATCTTTAAAAAAAAAAAAAAATTTCACCTTGATTCTTCACCTTTATAGAGGAAACAGTTACATAGTGAATGCAACACGTTGCCATTTATTAAAAAGGGGTGGAATGGGAGGAGGAAGTCCCAGGAATACATACATGCTTGTCTGTGCAACAAACATTTTGGGAAGAATACACAGGAAACTTGCATCAATGGTTACTTCCGGGAAAGGGAAAAATGGAAGAAAAGGTTTGGAAGAAGACTCATTTTTTACCCTGAGTTGTTATTGTGTATATCCAACTACTATTTTGTTTTTATTCTAAAATATAATAAATTACAGAGAATATATTGTTTAAAAAGCTTACCAGACGGTTCTAATTATCAGCTTTGTTTGAGTCTACTAAAAACTGACATCTTAAAGTCTCATCCTCTTTCTCTTCAATTAGTACAAAAAGTTTGGGAACTAATAGCATAGGTTTTAAATGATCATGTTGAAAAGAATCACAGAAGTAAAGGTTGAGGATACTGCTTCCTAAAGTTCTTCCAGAAAGCTACCTATGCTAGTAGCTCCAGGGCAGAGAGGACAGGGTCCATCCCACTAAACGTGTCAGCAGTCAGTCAACACTTGCTGATTCAACTCACCATAAGGACCAACAGTCAGGCAGGCATGGTGCTAGGAAATGAAGATGACTAAGATTCCATACTTGAAAGTTCAGGGGAGCTTGGGTGGCTCAGTTGGTTGAGCATCTACCTTTGGCTCAGGTCATGATCTCGGTCCTGGGATTGGGCCGAGAGCCTCAGGCTCCCTGCTCAGCTGGGAGTCTGCTTCTCCCCTCTGTGCTACACACGCCCCCCACCCCCAGCTAGTGCACCCACATGCAGCTCTGTCCCAAATAAAATTAAAAAAAGAAAAAAAAAAAGGAGTTCCGGTAATAATAATACAAAAACAATACTTAAAATGATCTCTTCTGAACTCCACATATACCAACTCAAAAAGATGATCAAGGTGTATTAAGTAGGAAAAAAAACCCGAAAAGATGCACAGTAAGATTCTAATCAAGTAGGAGGAATAAGTATATGAATACATACACATAAGCTTGTGTGACTTACACATGTATATGTGGTAAAATACCAAAATTATCAATAATTAGGGTCGGAACAAGGAATGGAATACCAGGGATTTGGGTGCAGGAAGAGAGAGGTACAAATGAAGGAGGATTTTCACTTTTTGTTCTATATACTTTATTTTTATTTTTTAAAGATTTTGTGTATTTATTTTGACAGAGAAAGAGAGCGCGCACACACAACCAGGGGGAGCAGCAGAGGCAGAGGCAGAAGCAGGCTCTCCGCTGAGCAAGGAGCCCGATGTGGGGCTCAATCCCAGGACCCTGGGATCATGACCTGAGCTGAAGGCAGACGCTTAACCCACTGAGCCACCCAGATGCCCCTGTATACTTCCTTAATTTACTAAAAATGTTTTTGTAGTTAGCATGTATTTATGTATTGCTTCAGCATTTTTTAAAAAGATAATTACCTATTCTTAAGATACCACTGATACCCAAAATAGTCTAAGAGATTAGTTTATATTAAACAAGAAAGTCACCAGAATATAAAGTTAATAATGATAATGATTTGAAAAATACCTGTTCCATCCGATGGGCCATCTCTTTATGCAACTGCTGAACTGCATTTTTAGCTGCAATGTCTTGAGCTACTAGTTTATCTTTGGAAGTCTTAACTTCTTTACTGAGTTCTTCTATTCTTGATTCTAACTGTAAAGAAAATTATTTCCAGATTTTTATAGCTATACCAAACAGACCACCAACTCTTCAAATAAATATAAACAATGAAAGGGAACATAGAGAATGTAATGAATATACTTCAAACAGAAATCAAAAGTAAATGTTAACAATGTTTCTAAAATTCATTAGAATTAAGGTAGTATAAAGCTGATGCAGATTCTGATAAGATGTATATGGTAAGCTCTAGAACAATCACTAAGGAAATAACTCAAAAAAATATAGTGAAAATATGAAAGAAATTTAAATACTATTTACTTAATGCAAAAGAAAGCAGTGAAGGAGGGATAGAGGAACAAAACAAACATGAGACATAGAAAAGAATGGCAGACATAAATCTGTCAATAACATTAAATGAGACTGTATTAAATAATCATATCAAAAGCAGAGACTGTCAGACTGGAGTAAAAACACAAGATCCAACAATATAGACTGTAAGAAAAAGGATGGAAAAAGACACTGCAAGCAAATAACAACCATAAGAAAACAGGAGTGGCTATACTAATATACAAAATAAACTACAAAATAATGTTACCAGAGAGAAATATTTCATAATGATTAAATGGTCAATCTATAATAATTCTAAATATATATGTACCTAATAACATAGCACTAAAATACATGAACCAAAAACTGGCAGAAATGAAGGAGGCAATTCATAGTTGGGAGACTTCAGTACCTTTCAATAATGGACAGAATTAGAAGATTAACAAGGAAATAGGAGACTTGAGCAAAACTATAAAACAACTGGATCTAACACATCTATATAGCATTCCACCCAACAACTGGAGAATACACATGCTCATCAAGTGCACATGGAATGTTCTCTAGGACTGAATATATGCTAGGTCATAAAATAAACCTCAATAAACTTAAAAGATTGAAATCTTATAAAGTATGTTCTTCAACCATAATGGAATGAAACTAGAATCAGTAGCAGCAAGAAATATCAGAAATTCACAAATATATAAACAAATATGTAAACAAAAACATTAAACAACAATAACCAATGGGAGAAATCACAAGGAAAATTAGAAAATATGAAGAAATTAGAAATATAAAGATACAACATACCAAAACTTAGGGGATTTATCTAAAGCAGTGCTTAAAGGGAAATTTGTAACTATAAACACCTATATTAAAAAAGAAGAAAGCTGTCAAATCAATAACCCAAACTTTCATCTTAAGGCACTGTAAAAAGAAAAAGCAAACTAAACCTAAAGCTGGCAAGAAGAAGGAAATAATAAATATTAGAATGAAAATTAAATAGAAAATAGAAAACAGAAAATTCAACAAAATGGTTCTTTGAAAAGATTAACAAAATTGACAAACCTTTAGGTAAAAAAGAGGGTCGGGGGGGGGGGCTCAAATTACTAGAATGGAAATAAAAGAAGGACATACTGACCTTACAGAAATAAAAAAATTGGCCATTTTAACATGGGTGAAATAAAAGGACAATTCCTAGAGAGACACAAACCACCCAAACTAGCTCAAGAAGAGACAGAAAATCTGAGTAGACCTATAAGTAAAGAGATTTAATTAGTAAAAAAATAAACAACCAAAACCTACCAAGAAATATTCAAGCCCAGGAGACTACACAGATAAATTCTATCATATATTTAAAGAATATCAATTTTTTTTTTTAAGATTTTATTTATTTGACAGAGACACACAGTGAGAGAGGGAACACAAGCAGGGGGAGTGGGAGAGGGAGAAACAGGCTTCCCACGGAGCAGGGAGCCCAATGACGGGCTCGATCCCAGGACCCCGGGATCATGACCTGAGCCAAAGGCAGACACTTAACGACTGAGCCACCCAGGCACCCCTCAATTCTTTTTTTAAGACATTATTTAAGAAATCTCTATACCCAACATAGGGCTCAAACTCATGACCCCAAGATCAAGAGTCACATGCTACTGAGGCAGCCAGGTGCCCTGAATTAATACCAAATCAATTTTTCACAAACTCTTCCCCAAAAAAGAAGAAACACTTCCCGACTCATTCTATGGGGTCAGTATTACCCTGACACCAAAACCAAGAAATCACAAGAAAAAGAGCTATAAGACCAGTATCTCTTATGAATATAGACAAATTCTTTTTTTTTGTAGAATTTTATTTATTTATTCATGAGAGACAGAGACAGAGACAGAGAGAGGGGCAGTGGGAGAAGCAGGCTCCCAAGGAGCAGGGAGCCCGATGTGGGACTCGATCCCAGGACCCCGGAATCATGACCTGAGCCGAAGGCAGACGCTCAACAATGGAAATTATAGTACTAGCAAAACAATCCTGCAATATATAAAAAGAATTATACACCATGACCCAAAGCTATTTATCCTAGCAATGCAAGGCCAGCTTAACATCCAGAAATCATTTAATGTAATGCACCATATCAACAGAACAAAAACACACCATCACTTCGTTAAACACAGAAAAAGCATTTCAACTCTTTCATAAAAACACAGAGCAAAGTAGGAATAAAAAGGTACTTCTTCAACCTGATAAAGAGCATCTGTGAAAAACCCACAGGTAGGATAACTTAATGGTGATAGGCTGAATGCTTTCTCCCTAAGATCACGAACAAGAGAAGGATATCCATTCTTGCCACTTTTATTCAACACCATATTGGAGGGTCCAGACCAGGCAATTAGATAAGAAATGAAATAAAATGCACTTGGATTGGAAAGGAATAAGTAAAACTCTCTATTTGCAGATGACATGATCTTGTATACATAAAATCCTAAGGACTGACTACTAGGGGATATGGGGTTTCATTGTGGGGGTGGGGGTGGTGATAAAGTATTCTAAGATTGTGGTAAAGGTTGTACAACTAAAAACCATTAAACAGTACACTTTGAAATGGGTGAATTGCATGGTATTTAAATTATCTATAAAGCTGTTGAAAAAAACCCTAAATGTTAGCTTACAGAATATGCGTATTTTCCTTATGACAAAATTACCTAGAGTGACACTGTCCAATAGAATACAAGCCATATGTGTGATTTATATTTTCTAGTAGGCACATTTTAAGAAGCAAAATGTGAAATGAATATTAAACTTAATATATCCAAAATATTATCACTTTGATAATCAACTTGAAAAACTGACAGATTTTACTTTAGACCAAGTTTTCAAAATTAAGTATTTCATACCTACAGCGTTTCTTAATTTGGACTAGCCACCTTTCAAGTGCTCAAAGGCTTTATGTGGCTAGTGGCTGCCATATTGAAAGGTGGAGATCTAGAGATAAAACTAAGAAAAAAAAATCCTGCTATATTGGCTAGCAAAAGAAAGAATCCAATTTTCTCCTTAATAAAGGTCCAACCACTAACAAGCTTATGAAAAGAACAGCCCTGGTTCTCTCCCATTTATTCAGTCTGAAGTTTCTGGTCACCAGCAATAACCTGCCTACCAAAATGTGTCTTCCATCCATTATTAAGCCTTCCCTCACATTTTAAAATTCTAAGTTTGGTTTACTGTGGTATAGCTCTAAAGCATGTAAAAATCAGGATTAAGTAAAATTTACAAATACAATCACCCTCCAACCATGTAATGGTGCATTAAGTATACCAAGACATAAGTGAAACTTGGTTTAATTTTTTATTATCGATTGTTCATTGTGTTTTTTTTCATTATATAGTTTTTGGTGAAGGATGAGACAAAAGGAAGGATTTTAAGGCTAAAATGCTTCTAATCCTATACACGGAAGAAAAAAAGCAGCTCAGAAAGATAAAGAGCAGCTCAGCTTTGCCACTAGTCTGAATATTCACTTTGTTGATCCATATATCAGAGTTCATGTTTAAAAAATTTTAAGGGGCACCTGCGTGGCTCAGTTGGGTTTTTGGGTTTTTTTTAAGATTTTTATTTATTTATTTGACAGAGAGAGAGACAGCGAGAGCAGGAACACAAGCAGGGGGAGTGGGAGAGGGAGAAGCAGGTTTCCCGCTGAGCAGGGAGCCTGATGTGGGGCTCGATCCCAAGACCCTGGGATCATGACCTGAGCCGAAGGCAGACGCTTAACGACTGAGCTGGTGGCTCAGTTGGTTAAGCGTCTGCCTTCGGCTCAGGCGATCCTGGAGTTCCGGAATCGAGTCCCCCATCGGGCTCCCTGCTCAGCAGGGAGTCTGCTTCTCCCTCTGACCCTCCCCCCTCTCGTGCTCTCTCTCTCTCTCTCTCAAATAAATAAAATTTAAAAAAAAAAGAATTTTAAAAACTTTTAAAAGAAAAGAAAATGAGGAAAGACAAACTGGAGAAGCCAGCTAGCCAGATAAAATCTGAAGCAGGAGAGCCAGTCTTCCAGTGTAGTACACAATAAGACTGAGAATGCAATCATCTTAAATGATAAGCTTAGAAATATTCTAATGCTAGATATAAACTTTAAGGTATATGTTGCTTCTTTTAAGTGGTAGAAAGTCTGACTGCCAAATCAAATCTTTTTTCCTCAGATTTCTATTATATATAGAGTACACTCACACATATCCTAGAAAAATACAAATTTACATAAAAGAAAAAATCAGGCTATGATTCCCATTTCATAAAAAAGAATGCTTTACATACCAAGCAATCCTCTGCAATTAAAATACAATTTAGTTTACAGAACTTCAATTTATACACAAATTTTCAGGAATGTGTTTATTTTACAAATTGAAGTATAGTGTTTAAAGATTTTTGTCTTTTTACCTGTTTAATTGTACTCATATGCTGCTTCTCTGTTTCTGTTCTCTTTTTTAGTTCTTCTCTTAAATTGTCTTTTTCTGAACAAATGTCTAAGATGAGCTCCTGATGCTTCTTATTTTCTTTAATTAACCTAAATATAAAAAGAGCAGTATAAGTAAAACATAATTAAAAATGGAGATGTGAAATAGGATGTTTGCAGATTATAGATACTTATGATCAATACATCAACATTCCTAAGTAGTCCTTTTGTAATGATATATTATACTTTATAAAACATTCTCTGGCAGTCAGGCTATTAACTTCTTCCTAGGAATCTGTACATTTAAAATCAAGTGAAATATAATCAGATAAAGAAAATCACACTCTTTTAAGTTTACCACTTTGGGTAACTCAGCTATGCACGTCATCCCTTCAGTATCTGAACTCCTCCAGATCAGTCCTCCAATCACTTTTCTCAATCTGAGGCAAAGCCCTTCCAGGCATTTGCCTGAAGACGTTTTTGGTTGCCACAACAGGGGTGGGGCTTGCTATTGGATTCTTTTGGGTGGAGGTCAGGGATGTTGCTAAACCTTTTACAAGGCACAGTACAGTCCCACCACCACCAAAGAATGATATGCCCCCAAATGTCAACAATGCTAAGGGTGAAAAATCTTGCTTTAGATTTTAAAAATATTTCAATGATATTCTAAAAATAGTTACAGAAGAAATTTAAAAAATATATAAAACAAAAAAGTTCAAGGAGAAATTTCGAGTCCCCTAGAAAAATACAAATAAAGCCTTAAAAATTACCTGTGTAGTCTTCAGAACTATAAAATATGATACGTAACAAGGTTAACAGCTAATATTTTGGAATTACTAATAGCAATAGCTATTACTTAACACTCACTTCACAATTAATATTTACTAAGTTTAAGTGCATTATTTAATATTCAGGTTTATGAAATTAGTAAGTCTATGAAATGTTTTATGAATTAAAAAAAAAAAAAACTTGAAGCCCAGCACTTGTTCCAGGTCACACAGCTAGTAAGTGGTTGAACTGAGATTTAGACCTAGGTCTAGTTCCATAGCCTAGGCCTTTCTCCTCCTTTGAAGATCACAGACAAATGCTTACTGGGTACCTACTATGTACCTATACTTTTCTGTGGGTTGAAGTATGTCAGCAAACCATCCCTGCCCTCATGGTGTTTACATTCAAAGGGAGAAAATGAAAATAAACATAATATAATATCAGGCAGTAATCATGTCCTATTAAGAAAATAAAGGAGGGCAAGAAGACAGAGAGTGACGAGCGGTGATTTTATTTTTTTAGATTTATGTAGTTGAGAGAGCATGTGCGAGCATGGTCGGGGGGGGGGCACGTAGAGGGAAAGAATCTCCAGCTGACTCCCCATTGAGCCCAACAATGGGCTAGATCTTACCACCCTGAGATTACCAGTGGAGCCGAAGCCCAAGTCAGGTGCTCAAGCGACTGAGCCACCCAAGTGCCCCTTGAGCAGTGCATTTAGATAAGGTAGTCAGGGTGGGCCTCTCTGAGGAACACAGGACCAAAGCGAGGAAGCAAATCATGCAAATGTTTGAGAAGGAGAAAAATGCAGCTTGCAAGTTTATTCAAGCCTTTTTGGCAGTGGTTAAACTTAGATTATTTGATTCGGTGTACACTCAAATTGTTGCAGAAAACTACCTGCAGCGTAAGAATCCTAGCTGTAGTTCACAAGTAAGGAATTTAGAGAGGCAGCAAACCCTCAAATTGTCACATCCAATGCACAACTAACGGTTCTTAATTAAGAATTCCGGTTGGGACCTTGGACAACACACTGATGTTAGAAAATAGAACAATGGATGTATATACAACATCTGGAAATAGATGCATGCATGAAAATTTAAGCCAAAGGAACTGAAAGGCAGTTTTCTTTATAGAATATTAAATGAAGGCAAAAGAAAAAAAAATTAGTGTTCTAGAGGTAACCTGAGTCACAATTATGCTATTATGTGTATATAACAAAAGATTAACTTATTTAAAATAGTATCTAATATTTTTATAATGCCTTAATGTCTATAAAACAATTCCGTCAGGTATCGTCCCCTTCACAGAGATGACAAATTTTGATTTAGAGAGGTTGATATGAACAACAAATCAGAATTTGCAAGTGGAAGTGGGAATCTTCCAACTGCAGGCTTCTGACCAAAAACTGTGCTTACCCCAGTCTACCATGCTGCCACAGTTCTGACAGGATGTGGCAAAAAAGAATTTTCTATTCTATTCCTAACATTTTGATAATGTTAACAACTTCTAACTAGTTCATTCAGATAACCACATTGAAAAATCTTCTAAAGCCAGACTAACTAGGCTCAGATTTTAACTGGGGCATTTAGTAGCATGTGACCTTGAGCAAGTTTCTTAATCTCTCTGTGCTTTAGGTACCTCATCTGTAAAATGTGAGTAATAGTTCATACCATAGAGGACTGTTCTGATTCCATGAATATATATACACAAAGTGCCTGGCACATAATTAACAGCATATAAATTATTTGCTATTATTTAATGTACAACATCTTACAATTTACAAGAGAGGCATTAAAGTGATGAGTCCAGATCTAAGGTAAGTGGGAAGAGGCATCAAGGACAATCTCAAAAAGAAATAAAAGATCTGAAAGAACAGGTACAGATAGGAAAATGAGGAAGTTACCCTAAAAAAACAAAGTGGTAAAAGCACTAATGGGGGGTGCCTGGGTGGCTCAGTTGGTTAAGCGACTGCCTTCGGCTCAGGTCATGATCCTGGAGTCCCGGGATGGAGTCCCACATTGGGCTCCCTGCTCGGTGGGGGGGTCTGCTTCTCCCTCTGGCCCTTTTCCCTCTCGTGCTCTCTCTCTTTCTCTCTCTCAAATAAAATCTTAAAAAAAAAAAAAAGCACTAATGGTTTAAGTTCAAAACCACATAGTTATTCATAATAGCAGCATTCCAGCAAGGATATGAATAAAAGTAGCAGCCATTAATTTTGGAGCAGTATTAAGGGCTTTGAGTCTCAAGAGGTATTTGTACACTCATGTTCACAGTATTAGTCAAAATGTGGAAGCAACCCAAACGTCCACTGACAGATGAATGGAAAAGCAAAATGTTATATACATACAATAAAATGTTATTCACCCTTAAAAAGGCATTTCTGATAGATGCTACAACGTGGATAACCCTTGAGGACATCTGCTAAGTGAAATAAACCAGCTGCAAAAAAATACTATGATCGCACTTTATATAAAGTAACAATAGGAAACTTTAGAAAAAGAAGTAGAGGGGCGCCTGGGTGGCTCAGTCCTTAAGCGTCTGCCTTCGGCTCAGGTCATGATCCCGGGGTCCTGGGATCGAGCCCCGCATCGGGCTCCCTGCCCGGCGGGAAGCCTGCGTCTACCTCTCCTACTCCCCCTGCTTGTGTTCCCTCTCTCGCTGTGTCTCTCACTCTCTCTGTCAAATAAATAAATAAATAAATCTTAAAAAAAAAAAAAAAAAAGAACAGTAGTTGTCGGGCTGATGGCAGGGGAATATGGAGTTGTTTAATGGGTAGGGAGTTTCAGATTTGCAAGATGAAAAAGCTATGCAGATTGGTTGCACAAAAATGTGAATAAACCTAACACTACTGAACTGTACACTTAAAAATAGTTAAGATGGTAAATTTTATGTGTATTTTGTCACAATCTAAAACAAAAAATAGAAAAAAGGAAGAGTTCTGGATGCTTAAGAGATTAAAGTTCACTGGATAGACCAATGAAGGGTAAGCTGGTTTGGGGAAGACTGATTTACTGAGTAAGAAAATCTAGAAGAATAAACACTAGAAGCAAGGAGATCATTAAAAGCCAGTTACAGGGGCGCCTAGGTGGCTCAGTTCGTTAAGCATCTGCCTTTGGCTCACATCATGATCCCAGGGTCCTGGGATGGAGTCCCGCATCGGGCTCCCTGCTCAGCAAGGAGCCTGCTTCTCCCTCTCCCTCTGCCTGCCTCTCCCCCTGCTTGTGCTCTCTCTCTCACTGTGTCAAATAAAATCTTAAAAAAAAAAAAAAAAAAAAGCCAGTTACATATCTAGCAATTGTTGGATTATGGTATATTTTTTTCCGTCACCCTCCTCTAGTATAGAGACTTCCTCCTCTGCTTTCTCTACATACATACCTTCCATTCCAAATTTTTTTTAAAGTATCATTTAAAAAAAAGAATCAGTCTGTATTTTAGTGAAGGCTAGCATGTTTCATTTTCCTTTCTTAAACGTTATAAAAAACTACCTAGGGGCACCTGGGTGGCTCAGTTAAATGTCTGCCTTTGGCTCAGGTCATGATCCCGGGGTCCTGGGATCTGCTCCCTGCTCAGCGGGGAGCCTGTTTCTCCCTCTCCTCCCTGCTCAAGCTCTAATAATAAATAAAATCTTAAAAGAAAAAAAAAAGACTACCTAAACATTTGCAACACTTAGATGTAAAAATCTAGAATAAAAATACAGGATGATATAATACTATTAGAAAAGGATAAAATAAAATTAAACTATCATTAAAATAGAAACTAACTTCAAAAATCCAAGGGAAGTTTAAAAATATGTTAATTACTGATAACCAACTCTTCTCTAAATTTTAATTTTTAAAACCAATGAACTTACAATGGGAATTTTAAGAAAATCTTTTTAAATTGTAAGACTTCTCATTTTCTTTTGAATTTCTCATAGTTTTAACAATATTATGCTCTACATTCTTTCAAAACTGAAAAACTTGAGTTGTCTTTATAAATATTTCCAGATGTTTAATGAACTCACATTAGTATTTATTCTTTTAGGCATATATTAAATAACTAAACAAACTTGACATTTGCTCAATTACTCAGTAAATACATATTTGTTGATCAACTACAACAGGCATGTCTATTGTGGAATTAAGAATGGACAAGATGATAATTTCCTTTAAAGAATTCAATCTTTAATCCCGGGAGGGGAAGAAAACCCCAAAAAATTAAAAACTTACTTCTTTATGGTGTGCTCTTGCTGTAAATACTTCTCTTGCACACACTTTTCAAACATAACTAATGCATGTTCTCCCTTATTCATTCCATTTGGTACTCGGTGTTCTTCCACAAACTCTGTAGATAAGAGCTCAGATTCTATTTCTTCCAACAAATTCTCTGACGCTGAAACGTTCTTTATTTTTGAAATAAGTTTTTTGGTGCAGTCTGTATCGTAGGGACTTTCTGAATAAGTCTTTTGATTTGCTGCTTCTGTAAATGTAGATGACCTTAATTCCGCCAATATTTGTGTTACTGTCTGTTCCGTTTCATTTGTTTTTGAAATTTGCTTTGTAAAATCTCCACCAGGAAAATCACCTACTTGTTCAGAATTTTCTGGGCATATGTCTGTTTCAGCACAAGAATCCTCACCTCCACCATGATCCTGAATACAATTTTCCTGTGCTTCAATTTGATTATGTTCATTAGGCTGACATGACCTCTTATCAAAGTTTAATGACGACAGTTTAGACTCATTTTCTAAGCTGCTGCTTTCATCAACAGAAAATGAGTTGCAGAAGTCTTCCTTTAATTCAAATGTTTTCCCAATATTTTTATCAGAGGAAATGGAGGCTATGTGCTCTGTCTCTGACATGCTGATTGACACCACTTCACTCTGCATTTCTTCAAATCTGTTCCTGATCTTCGTTTTACATCTAAAAAAAGTCAAAACATCAAAATTTAAAAAAAATAGTTTTTTAAACCAAGACCTCATATGTATTTGCACAAACTCCATGATGTGGAATAACTGAGGCCACAAATTTTGCCACTAGTAACTCTTTTAAAAGACTTTCTTGGGGCGGGGGGGTAACAGAAATCAAATAGGACAGACAATCCAAGTGTGCCGCTATCAGTAGGGTCCTACAAAGTCTTACTCTTTCCTCCTTTAATTCATTCACACAACTTCACTTCAGCTGCAGTTTGGCATTCCTTAGTCACCCCCATAAGATGTTGGGTATGAAATATCTACAGTTTAAATTGTTAGAATTCAACTGTTTAGAATTCTTCAGTCCATGAGGGGCAAAAGACCATTTCAAGAATCTATAAGAAAATATGGGGAAATAAGATAGCAGTGGAAACACTAGAAGAGAAAGATTATAAAATACATATTAATGATGATAAAAATTTACTAAGAAGGAAAACTAAATAACAAAACACAACTATCTATAGCCCAGGCACCTAAAGCTGAGCTAAAAGAAGTCTGGGTGTTAAAGATCCCTGACACGAATTTGTTTTCCATCCAGGAAAAAGTCCAGGAAGTACCATGGTATCTCCAAACATTCTCATCAAGAATAAACAATGTTCAGTGCAACTCAAATGGAGCTCATATGCACTGCCCAGGTCATAAAGGAAACACTGATTAATTCAACAACTAAAATACATTTTTATGCTGTTTATTATGATGGTTGTTATTTTAGCTAATTTCTGAAAATTAGTCAACTTCAAAAATTATCCTAAGACAGATAAATATATTCCAGCAGTCTTGATCAAAAAAACTTATCTTCTTTCATCATATATCAACAAAGCACATATAGGGTTGATGAGTTATCAGTGTCATATAAGGTTGGATAAAAAAGGGGGCAGATGAGAGCTTTGAAAAACTAGAAAAGAAATAATTTCAGATGGAAGGTGTACTTATGGAAAATAAAACAAATATAAAATTTTTGAATAGAAAGATACATGTTTTCATCGGTCTGTGATAAAAGTCCTGGTTTGGGGGGGCGGCGGTGAAAAAGGGTAAGAGAAGACTGTCAGGTAGAATCCTCAGAATGATATGCAGAAGTGAATTTTATGACAATAAATCATGATAGACATGTATACTTTATTATACTATAGTTTCTAGCACAGAGTAGATTCTCGGGTATTGAATTAAAGTACAGAAGTGATAGGATAAAACTAGTATTTGAGGAACATTATTCTAGGAATGCAGAAAATGGGGAAGAATAATTCTAAGAAAGGAAGTATATAGACTTCCTCCTCTGCTTTCTCTCCCTTTGGGCCATCAACTAGTATAGACATTGACCTTAATACTACAAATTACTAATCTGTATATTTCCAAACAACCAAATAGAAATTATCATTATCTTGTTGGATATGTTATGTTATATACAAGACAAAGCCCCTACTGGTATTAAAGGCTTGATTTAGACAATACAAATTAATGCAATAAGTTAATAAAAGGCCTCATAAGCATGCTGTATCCCAAAATCAAGGACAAAGTAAAGTAATTCTCAGATAGGGGTATTAGACTATATAGTTCTCCCTCAAGTAAGTCACTTTAAGATATAACTTGTGAATGTGTCGCTGAATTTGAAATCTTATTAAGAAATCTAAAAATGGTTTTAAACATCATAACCAATGTTAATAGCAACGGGCCAAAATAGATAACAAAGAATCTATTTAAATGAGAATAAAGGGATTATGACTCTCTAGCATAAAGCAAGTAAGAAAAAACTATCACTAGGAATGTGTGCCATGCTTTGTCAAGAGAAAAGCACCAATTGTAAAGAATTATCCTTTTATCCAGCTTTCATATTTTCCATTCAGTCTTCAACTTTATTTTCCCTCCTAGAATTCAACCACTTTGATAATTTGAACCAACAACTCCTAACTGATATCCACATTAGTTACTTTCAGTCTTATGTTCTTGAGTTACAGATAACAAATTACCTGTTTGCCTTCGCTCTATGTCCACATGAAAATCTTCACCTGAATATAGACATTTTGAATGGATGTTCCACAATAACCTCAAACTCAAAATGGCATAAATCCCGAAGCAAATTATAGCTCCTATAACTGAGCACTCCCAGTGAATCCTTTTGTCTGTCAATGGTATTTTTTTTTTTTTATAGATTTTATTTACTTCAGAGAGCGAGCGAGCACAAGTGGGGCAGAGTGGTAGAGGGAGAGGGAGAAGCAGGCTCCCCACTGAGCAGAGAGCCCGACGTGGGGCTGATCCCAGGACCCTGGGATCATGACCTGAGCTGAAGGCAGAGGCTTAACCGACTGAGCCACCCAGGCGCTCCAATGGTATCATTTTTCTTAGTCATGACTCCTTCCTTCCTTTGCCCTCATATTCTTTTACCAATTTCATGTCTCCAATCATACCCTCCTTTCTACTGCCACTGTCCCCTACCTGTAACCCAATCCAGGTGTAATCACTTCATACATGGAACATTTAAAATGCTGGTTTCTCAATCTTACTCCATGAAATGGGCAAGTGACTTGAGAAAGCACCAGGTCAAGTGTCACCCCATCCAGAGAAGGGGTTGAAGTGTGTACTACAATGGCTCTGCCAAGAGGGAACAGGAGATCTCCCATGAAGTGGGCTGGCCCTCGATGGCACAAGGGACCAGGAAGCTACAACACTGCCCCTAAAAAATTCACACACTACCTCCACAGAGACCTCCACCAAATGCAACCAGACGAATCAGACTGAGGCCAGGGCTATCTCTTCCCTCTTTAGAGATTCCTGTAATAAGAATTCTGCTTCCACTGGCTGGTCTTCTTCCCCCAACTCCAAAAGGGCTGGCTAGAGAAAAAAAGAAGGGACATATTTTAGAGCCAAATTACCTCTTCTTTAATCCAAGCAGCTGTGAACTAACACTTTCAACCTTTCTTCAGGTAGAATAAGGAGTTTGTGATTAATGTTTTTTGTTTTTTTTTTTAAATGATTGAAACCTATCTTAATTTCTTGAATAAATTTTCTCTAGTAATCAAAAGTGGCAGAAAAATGACATCAAATTAGTACAATAGGGGACTATATTTCAGAGGGAAGTGGAAAGGATGGGGGCGTTTTACACAGTGTGATGGGAGACCCAATAAGGAAAAACTAAAACCATTTTATGTTTACACTTCAGAGTTGCAATTCCTCAGTAAACCAATCATACTACTTTTCCAGTCTTCTCTCTCAACACATTCCTAAAATCCTAGGACTTCACTATAATCTACTAGTCCCTGACCAGTCTACTCAAGATTCCTCCAATCTGCACATTAACATTTCCATGGCTTTGCTCCCACCTAGAACATCCTTCTCTTCAGTCTATCCAGAGCCTAATTATACTTAAAGGTCCAATTTTAACGCCTCATCTTCCTCCAAATTTTCTCATTGTAAGTACAAAAATACTCATGTAAATGAAAACATACTGCATTTATACTCATTAAGCACACAGTCACAGCCTCCCCTGTGACACTTCTGAACAGTCTTTTAAATGATCTCTCTACTGGCAAGGAGGAACATCACTCCGAACTGAATCAAACCTCTTAAATCTCCAGCAATAATGATAATAAATCAACAAATATATTCTCTACTACATTTGCATTCATTCTCACAAATGTTAAATGCTGTTCAGTTCTCAATGAAGGTGGGGTCCACTGGGTTTATACAATGATCTGAGACTTGTAATGTGCAGAATAAAAGTTTGTCTCATTCTGAATACTCGTCTAGGTTAAAAAAACAAAAACAAAACAATAAGCCCGTGTTTATGATTACCTCAGTTTAGACTTTTATATATTATCCTTCTGTAAATTAAACTAAGTTTAACTTCAAAAGACAAGTACTTTCTATACTGTTGATCAGTAATATGCCCCTGACCTTTGAAAAAGTCTTCACATAAATTTTCATCTGGTAACCACTTAGCTTGCAAACTGAGTTTTCTGATGCTCAAATGAATACTAGTTGGACACAAAAGGAAAAGGAGATGGGTTAAGGGAAATCTATGTGTATATATACAACAAAGCCATCACCAAAGATTAAGTAACTGTAAAAGATTGGTGGGGGGAGGGGCACCACAATGAGTTTGATTATATCCATAATTAACCAGGTAATAAGAGGGGGGAAAAAACAGTCAGCTGAGTCCTCTTGTGGGCCTCCAGTTGGCCATACAGATGTGGGCCAGTGTGGTTGTGTCCAAGTTTTTTCTTTGGGGGACAGGAGTAGTTGTCATCAAAATTACTGAGGATCCAATAGCCTAAGAGTAGTTTAAAGGGAGAGGATATAAAACTAGGCATTTGTTTACAAGACTGTTTTAAATAAGTGCTCATACAAATCAAATCCATGTTCACATATAAAGATATAGATTACAACATCTATTCCTTTTTTGAGGTTAAAAAAAAATAACAGGTTATTTGACTTTTTAGCAACTCTTACTCATTAGGGGAAAATACTATATTTAACACTTAACAGTCACAAAATTCCTCTCAGTTTAAGCACTTTTTTCCAGAGTTGTTTCTGACACAGTACTACAGGACCAATTCACACTTCAATATCAGAGAAGTGAGAACTGGTTTCGCTCTTACTGGAGCTCATCAGCTGTAGGCAACTGGTCAAGAAACATTTTTTATTTGCCTTAAAGCCAACCATTATCCTCTGTTTTATTTCTTAATGCAAGAACTCACATTTCTACCAAATTATTTCCATATTAAGAGCCTTACAAATAAAAACACTGTCTTTAACAGTTTTTAGTACAATTACTTTTTTCTTAGTAATTAGCAGTATAAACAAAAAAAACAGGCTTACTCAATAAACTGCAAATACAAATGAATCCAATCCACAGATATTTGGCAACAGTTTATCAAACAAGCAAGCCTCATAGAAAAGTACCAAGTTACAAATACATTTCCGAACTATTAATTCATACACCAAACATGTACTGCGCATATTATGTGCAGGCACTGGTCTATGCATTGGGAACATGGCAGTGAAGAAAACATGCATCCGTTAGGGAGTTTACATTCAGGTATAGTGGACCAATATATATAAAAGCTCTATGTTAAAAAAAAAAAAAAAAAAGCTCCATCTTAAATCTTTTACTCTGTGTGTTTACAGCATTTTAATATGAACATCTGTCAGTGTTCCCTCAGAAAATATGTAAGATACACATAAATGTTTTAAAGCCAACAAAAATCTGGCTCAGTTCAGCATAAATATTATTTACAACAAATTTTTAAGTTACAAACTATACCATATGAATCTCAAACACCACCTGTATATTTCTTAAAATCATGTCCACTAAGATAAGAAAGTTGAGTCTGTGAGAGCACTCCTGTTCTTCACTATAATGGTTTACTGTCCTTTGTAGGCCAAGTACATTAAAAGGTTTTTCACATATTCCCCAAATAAACTTTAAAAGCAGCATGAACAAAAGAATAATTTATCTGACCAGTTCTAACAAGGTTCTGATATGGCAATTAAAATCAGAAGCAATAAATTGCATCAAAAATGCATCCATAGTCCAACATAATCTGATCACGATCCCAAGTGATTTTTGATGGAGGTTACCTTTAAAATACAAACATATTCCTGGATAAAGTTTTTAAACAAACTAACTAATAGAAAGGAACCTGTGTAAGAAACATGAAAACTGGGACGCCTGGGTGGCTCAGTCATTAAGCATCTGCCTTCTGCTCAGGTCATGATCCCAGGGTCCTGGTATCGAGCCCCGCATTGGGATCCCTCTCCCACTCCCCCTGCTTGTGTTCCCTCTCTCGCTGTGTCTCTGTCAAATAAATAAATAAAATCTTAAAAAAAAAAAAAAAGAGGAAACATGAAAACTGTTTCACATGATGAAAATATCAGACATTGAAGTTAACAGGTGAATTTATGCAAATCAGATTAAAAACTAAAAAAAAAGACTAAACTAGCAATTTCAAAGAACTCTAAGTTCTATCAAAAGGGAGAAATATTTTGTATGGTACTCACATTCTAATTAAGTTTGTAGGTAAAATTTAACCTTAATGAGTTTCCTTTTTGTGAAACATACCACTAGATTTTAAAAGTTGCCATTATTCTACCAGTTAAAAGAGTATGAAGCCAAGGTCAATTATCCCTGTGGGGGTTTGTTTAGCTTTGCACCTAAGACTCAAGGCAGAGTAATTTTTACAGTTATGTGCACCACATTCCAAAAAAAGATGTTAGAAAGACAGACTCAAGGGGTGCCTGGGTGGTGCTGTCGGTTGAGTGGCTCGTGGTTTCAGCTCAGGTTGTAATCTCAGAGTCCTGAGATCAAGCCCTGCATAGGGCTCCATGCTCAGTGCTGGAGTGGGCTTGAGATTCTCTCCCCCTCTCGCTTTGGCCTTCACATTCCTGTGCTTGCTTGCTCCCTCGTGCTCTCTCTCCTAATAATTAAACAATCAATCGTAAAAAAAAAAAAAAAAAAAAAAAAGACTCAGGGCAACAGATGCAGCAGGAGTCCACCCCCCGCCCCCAATAGTACCAAATCCTGTGACAGGATAACAGGAGAAAAAGAAATTATGGTCCATCAGGATTCCAGGAAAAAGAGGTAAGTGGCCATACCATCTACCACATTATCAAGTTATCTGTCATATTATCAGTTTACTCTTAGACAATGCAATTTTATAACTCTATTAAGATTTAAAGCAAAAAGTTCTTAAAACAGAAATCTTACTCTGAAGCTATCTGTAGAGCACTCACTATATGAACTTTAACGAGTCTCAGGAAATACAAAAAGTATTGTCTAATATTTTCCCAAATTAAAAAAAAAAAAAAAAGACTGACCTATAGTTTCCTTTGCAAAAAGGAAGACTAATAAAAAAAATTAAAGGTAAGTTGTAAGTCTGCCTTCTATTAAGGGGTTCTGGTTAATGTTCAAATTTTGAAACCTTACCTTTGGCCTGCGTTCAGTTAATATGGTATGATATAGTTTACCAAAAACATTATTCATTAGTACTTACTACATAATCATCCCTACAGCAGACTATCAGTTCATGTGTCTTAATGGACAAATATACTCACAATCCGATAATTAATACTTTCTTTGGTGGGTTTAATTTTGACTTTGTGTCTATTGTCCCTTCATGTCAATATTTTTCCTTTTATTTACTTAGTCCAAATAGATTTTTAAAATTTCAGTAGCTAAAAAAGTTCAAGAAGTCTGAAAAAATGTAAGATTAGAGGGTTATTTGTAAATTTAAATGATCTATCCTCCTGTTGCCCTGAAACACTAAATATAACATTTACAATACCCTAAGCCCAGTGAATGTTCATGAGAAATTCAAGAATCAGCTTTATTTTTTTAAAGATTTTATTTATTTGAGAGAGAGAGAGAGAGAGCATGAGCACAAGCTGGGGGAGGGGTAGATAAAGAGGGAGAAGCAGAGTCCTGGCTGAGTAGCGAGCTCCAGGCTGCCTTACTCTCAGGACCCTGAGATCATGTCCCAGCATAAATCAGACAGCTGACTTAGCCACCAGGTGCCCCTCGGCTTTATTATTTAAAGCCAGAAATAAGGGATAAAAGAAAAACCTAAATTTTATTGAAAGAAAAAAAGCAGACCTTGAGGTAAAGGATTCTTTCACATGAAATTGTTACATGAATTTGGAAAACTAATACAGATTACTAATCATTCTTCAAAGAGAAAGATGATTTTTCTAAATTTCTAAAAGAGGCTGCTTCGACCTATTAATCTCTTAAGAATATTCTGAAAAAAAAAAAAAGTATTCTGTACTGTTTTACCCCACTTGCTGATGTCAGCATGTAGATGTAAATAGACATTTTTAAACTGAATATACTAAGAAATTGCCATCAGCTATGCTATCATTGAATAGTACTAAGGGACAACTCTTGCATTTACGGGTGAAGGAACTAAAAGGTCACAGAGTAGTTACTGTGCTATACCACTCCTTTCATGTTAGCAGTAAGACTCTGAAATATCAATGACACTCTCTGGAACCTTCACTGTTTAAAGAAACCTCTAGGTTTATATGCTGGTATTCTGAATTTGACAAGATTTCAAAAATAATAACATCAACATAAACACAATCCATGCATTTCCAGGGAAAAACACAAACACAAGTCAGGCATTTCCAGGTAGATTCTTGAGTATATGTTTGCCTACTACAATGCAAAAAGGAGTTTTAATTCTTTGTAAGATTTGTGAACTACTCAATACCTTTACTGAATTTTAAATAAAATGAAAAGAGGCCAATCATCACTTTTCTATTTTTGCAATGATGAATAAAAGTTGAAAAGTAGCTGTACAGAGAAAAGACTTAACTCAAAAGGAGATAGTTCAGTTTCACTGTCAATGTCTCTTGAACCTTAATCTTTCGCAAATATGAAGGTGTAGTTTGTAGTTAGGAAGGCTACACCCACAATCTGCCTACCTACACATTAAATCTTTTTTTTTTTTAGTGACTACCAGTACACCTTTTGAAATACTGTTCCACTGATTTACTGCACACTTTTCTTACAAAAACTTCCAGCCTATCATTTAGGAAGAAGTAAAAACGCTAGGCATCAAGGAACATCACAAACACACACACGAAGAAAACTGCCAAATGCCTGGCACTGCATACACCATTATTTTTACTATACTAATCCCCACAGGTAACAAAACTATCAAGTTAAAGACGCAGATTCTAATCCAGATGCTCCGACTCTAAATCCAGGCCTCTTTAAACAAAACCAGGATGTGAATATTAGCTACAGTTGTTAAATTGCTAACAGCTAAGCATTAATTACACCTGCGCTATCCCCAGGCTTGCTGCTGGGGGACACGTAAGAGGCTTTCCCATGTTACAAGTTTGACCAAATTTGAAATATCCTTACCAGCCAAGGTTTATCAAATGCCTGACGTCCTTGGAAGAAAGCAACAAAAAACCAGTAACAGTATCTCTCAAAACCAAAATCCCAAAGAACCATCTGTAAGTTACTTAAAATCACAGTAACGGAAGAGTTTGTAAGACGGCAAAAAGTCGCCACAACAGTAAACATAAAACACACACACACAGTCAACTTGAAAACGGAAAGAGAAATAGGCAACTGAGTGAAAAATAGCCGAGCAGGTGGGGCTTAGCTACCGTTCGCGCTGGGAGATCAGGCAATCGGCCCAAATTAAGCTGCTCTCCAAGCACCGCTCCGGAGGCGCGGCCCCCGATGCCCGCTGATTCCTTGGCCGCCTACTCTCCAGTCAGCCCGGGACCTAGGGAACAAGGCAGGGAGGGGAGGGATTCCTAACTCCGTCCCCCAGCGCACGCCGGCCTCCACTGCCCGCGAGAGACGCCAGGCGGAGAGCCGACCCGGGACCTGCAGAACCGCGGGGGAGGTGGGCAGTCCCTCCGCGCCGCCACCGCCACTGCGGTCGGCTCCCGGCTCCCGTCAAGCACTCACCCCACTTCTCCGAGCTTCAGGCCGCACCCCTAACGAGGCCGCTGAAGCTCCTGCTCAGGGCCTAATTTCTCCATAGCGGGTCCGGCAGACCAGGAGGTGGGGGGGGAAACAGCGACCACGGACAAGCCCGACACCGCGCTCCCTCCACCACGGCGTCCCCAAACCCCCGCGGAGCTGACACATCAACAAAGATGGCGGCGACGCTGAAGCCAGCCCCACTACAGCTGAGGGGGTGGGGCTCCCTGAAGGAGCCAATCAGCGAGGCGCGGGCGGTGTGACGCGACGCACCTCGGGGCCAGTGTAACCGGTCTGCAGTGGGCGGGGCCGGGGCCGCACCGCCTCTTGCCTCCACAGCGCCGCTGGGCACCCACGCCCCGACTGACTCGGCTAGCCAGCAATCCTGCTAGTCCTGTCCGGTCTCTCAAGCCACTCCCACCCTAAGCCTGTTCTTTCTTTCTGTAGGACGCTCTCATTGGGTATAAACCCACCTCACTCCCTGACTCTTCTCATATTAGTCAGGGGTATAAAGCAATAAAAGAATTCGAAATTGTGACTTCCCAACTCTGATGCGCAAACCTACCTGACGTAGGCGGAATTAGCAGGAGGAGCCTACCTGTCCGTCTGACAATTCATCCCTGGGAGAGATTCCGGGGGTTTCCATAACACCGCGTTCGTATCTTCAACCTGGCACACACTGCCATTGTTTAATAATAAACTGTTCTTTTAAAAAATAATAATAATAAACTGTTCGTGCGTTCGTCCCTGGCACCAGGCTGTGAGCGCCTTGAGCGCGGTAAGTGTCCTCTCTCCCGGTTCGCAGTGTGGGGATTGACATGCAGGAGCTACTCAAAAATTAGCAACAAAAAGTGTATTGGAGGAAAAAGTGTGTTGAATACAGTTGCCTAATCGGGTCCAGATAAGTAAGGGGAACAGTTTCAATCTGCGAATTGAAATCTACGCTGTCCAGTGATGTTCTTTGGTTTAGGACTTCCTACTCACAACTCATGAGTGAAAGTAGTTAATTCTGTCAAGTTGTCAACGTGAGAGTTTGTAAAGCAAAGCTTGTTCCTGTTCTGTTAAGCTTCTTTGACACTAACTGCTAGGGGGAGAAAATCACTAAAAAAATTCAACATTGTGTCACTTTGTTCCTCTTTCCTTTTCAACAGGAAATGGCACGTCTTTCCTTAAATGAAAATACTGCAGTGAAACACACTTTGCAGTTAAAGTGTTTTTGACAGTGAAGTAATAAATTGACTTTAAAACAGTCAATCGACCAAACATTCCTAGTGAGATCTATTTTTCCAAGGGGGAAAAAATGTAAGCCTTTTTCACAGCTTATGTTGTTAGTAATAACCTTCACAGTGTTATTTCTGAAGTATATATTAGTTTAAAGCATTTAATTATGTTTCTGGATACCACGATTTTCATTATTAGAGAAAGGAAATACAAATACAAAATCAAAGAAATTAAGTAAAAATTCTGCAATCCTAAATTTGAATTTAGAAATATCAGTATGAACTCATGGTATTATTTTTTTCTTAAAAGTGACCACTGAAAAGGCCTGGAATAACAATCAGCACAATACACACCCCTATCCTCCATCATTTCTAAATATAATTTCCAACAAAAAGTAATTTGGACTCCCCTTGGGAATCAGGGACTGATTCTAAGTCTGGAGCAGGAAAAGTGCAAGAAAGTCTAAGATATGTGTATCAGAAAGCAAAGAAGAAAAATAATAGGAGTTGTGTCAAAGACGCAGGAGACAATTCAAAAGTGTGCCCACTGGTCAAAGGACAATTTAACATTAAAAATAATAACAACAGCATTTGAGACTCTTCTAGTATGTCAAAAATTAATGTGTGTTGATTTTTTTAAAACATCACCAGTCACCTTTGGAAGATGCCAAAGAATCATCACAGTCTGAAAACTGGTAAAAGAATCAAGCATCCTAACTTTCCTGTTAACAAACTGAATCTCAAATAGTCAATGTGCGAAAGTTCTTTATAGAATTCCAGATAATAAATGCAAAAAACAGTATCAGCAGTTCGCAAACCCTAATGAAATAATGGATCTAGGTAACAATCATCGGTGAATCTAGAATCCTTAGACAAAAAGCCAGTGGAAAACTTTATAATGGGTAGATGGGGCTGACATAACTTGAACCTGCTAGATCAATTTTAGTATCCTCCAAAGAGAAACAACTAGATATTGTCTTCTAATGTGATGCTATAGAGGCACACAATACCACCTGTGAAGTATACTTGCCAGAGGGGATATGCTCACAACTGAACTTAAGAAAAACTGCCATTACTTCAATTTAAAATTATAAGAAAAGGATTAAAAGGAAATATCTTTTTAAAATACATCACTAAATACAAATATAGGATCTTGTTTGGAGCCTGATTTGAACATACCAATTATTAAAAATCATTTGAGACTCTCTGGATATTTTAAACACTAATTTTATGATATTAAGAAGTTGTTAAGAAAATGTTAAATTGTTAATTGTTAAGTTTTGGTGCTGCTTTTAAAAGTTATTATCTTTTAAAGATAAATATGTATAGATAACAAGATATAATATCCCCAAAAGTAAAAGTGATAAAAAAAATCCCCCAAATAAATAAAAACAAAAACAACCCCACATTGAGAGCTCCCAATGACCAAAACTGGAAAAATTTGAGCAAGGAAGTGAGGTAGTGTTGGATTATAACCCAAAGTATAAAATAAACATGAGTTCATAATAATACATATACAGTATATATGATCAAATATATTAATAAATGGAGAAGAGACAAATCTCCTATGTAAACAAATTTGAAATAATTTCGGTATCTGGCCCTTAAGGAGGGGGAGCATAACTTCTCTTTCTTAGGTGTAGACTGTGTATAATAACTTTCTTCCAAAGTGTATAATATGCAAAGGGAGGGAAAACAAGAGTCGCTTTAGAAACCTGAAGAACACTAGTCAGGTGGTAGTGTCTCGAGCATGTTATAAAGGTGTGTACACAAGTTGTGTCTTTCTGCAATGTCCGCTTTATTCAATCATAAAGTAAGGTTAATACAATTGAAAGCAGGTTCAGGATCCTAAACTCAATGACATTTCACTATGCATTTAATTTGGCTTCATACACATCACACAAAGTACAATACAAACTTATGCAACAAACAAGATACAATAAGGGTAAGAACTTAATGAATCAGTGACACCTGGGTGGCTCAGTCGTTAAGTGTCTGCCTTTGGCTCAGGTCATGATCCCAGGGTCCTGGGATCAAGCCCCACATTGGGCTCCCTGCTCAGCGGGAAGCCTGCTTCTCCCTCTCCCACTCCCCCTGCTTGTGTTCCCTCTCTCGCTGTGTGTCTGTCAAATAAATAAATAAAATTTTTAAAAAAAGAATTTAATGACTCAAACCAAGTCAGTCTGAGCACAGTTATGATGAGGACTTGGTCAGGTCTAGGCCAGCTCTAGGCACTTACTGATATGTTCAAAAGTGGAGGATCTCTCTTATGTTCAGAGATCAATCAGGCACAGTCCACAGCAGTTGCCTTTTAATGTGGTCAGATGAGGAAGGGTCAGTGTCTAGAGAGTCTGGCAGTTTGCTGTAGAAATCCTCTTTTTACAAGAGTTTAATCAGTCTTGTGCCTTTGCAGGCCTCTTTTGGCTCTAGTGATTATCAGCTCCTAGCTCTTCTAGGCCTTATGGTTTATAGTCCTTAGTACTCCCAGTCTATACTGGTTTTGGTGATATTTGGTCTTAGCTGCAATATCCTTGGCTTCTTTTCTGATTATATCACTACTTGACACGAGTGACACCGTCCTGCTCCCTACAGGTGGAAAATGTCAACTGTCATGAGTCATTTTCACAGGATGTACACTTGATATGGTGCTATATAAATGGCACTTTACCTCTATAGCCTTCCTTCCCAAAACCCTTAACTCCAGTCTTATCATGAGAAAAACAAACTCCAACAGTGGGGCATCTTATAAAATGCCTGACTAGTACTCCTGGAATCTATCAAGATCACCAAAACAGGGAAAGTCTGAAAAACTGCCACAGCCAAGAAAAGCCTAAGAAGACATGACAACTAAATGTAATAATGTGGTATCCTGAATGGAATTCTGGCTCAGAGAAAGGACAATAGGTAAAAACTGCGGAAATCTAAATAAACTCTGCACTTTCAGTAATATATCAATATTGGTTCCTTAATTGTAGTTAATGTATCCTACTAATGTAATATGAATAATAGAGGAAACTGGGTATGGTTAATCTGGGAAACTCTGTAGTATCTTCTCAATTCCCAATTTTTATCTAAAACTTCTAAAAAAAAAAAACCTATTACAAAGAAAAAAAGATTCAAGTCAGAATTTGCTTCCAAACAATGGGAGAAGTGTGTGGGGGGGACAGATGCAGACAAGACTGACAGTGAATTGACAATGTTGAAACTAGTTTTAAAAACAGGGGGGGGGTACCATTTTTTCCCGAATTTGTCTGAAAGGTCCCCAGGCCCCTCCAAAAAAAGGTTCACAAATATTTGAGAGGCACCAACATATAACCAGGTGTGCTTAGTCAGCGAAAAAGTGATCACCTGTGTTTACTTTTCAGGCAGAGGTAGCGGATTAATTTGAAAAACCCTGTGAGACTTTAAGTGGTAAATGCGACCTAAGTGACCATTACCGAGACACGGTCTGCGTCTTTGAGCTCGAACTCCGTCCGAGTTTGCAGGGCCACATTTCTAGAAGCAGCTGGAGTAACTATATTGTCCCAGCGGAGAAACTTTGCGAGCCTGGAACCCTGGGGCACAGCGCCGCCCCCCGCCCCGAGGCACAGCGCGGCTTCCCCCGCGCGCCGAGGGTGTGCGTGGGCGTCGCAGGGCGCACGTGGGAGCGGACTGCGCAGGCGCCACGTTGGCGCAGGGCTAGCCACTGGAGGTGAGGTGAACGCGGAGAGCGAGTTTGGGAGGCGAGGCTGCCGGGCACGGGCGGACGCCACCACGGCCAGCCTTCAGAGACGGGTCGGGGTCAGCGACCCTTTTGGCTCCTACCAGGTCAGGGTTCCCAGGCGCGTGGCAGGGAGCGAAAGGGACTCTGTGAGGGCTGCGGGGTTTCGGTCGTTGGGGACCGGACGTTGGGCGCTGGACGTTGAGGTCGGGCGTTGAGGTCGGGCGTTGAGCGGGCACCAGGG